TCAGTACGATAAACAGCATAGTCTCGATTATCCATTTAATCATTTAATGAGAAGGAAAGTTATGCAGTAAATCGGCTTACAATCCACTAAAGATCGCAGGCTAGCGCAGCCATCTAGAGTTGATTATGGCCTGGATAGGTTAATTAATGTCTAATTAATAATTTAGATAACATTTCAGGCCTAAAGAAAGACCTGAAATAGGCAGATTTAGCTCTTGCATAATGCATGTTTAACAAAAATAGATTCTTTCTACATATTCTACACTTTCGTTTCATCGACACCGCCATCTTGGAACTACTCTGACCATGCCACAATAGCATGGTCCAGTATTTTCGGTCTATGGTCCCGACTAAATGAAATTCAGTTAGTTCGACCATAGTCAAGAAATCACGATACCCCCCCCCCCCCCCAATAATTCGGCCGCAAGTACCCTTTTCTCCAGGTTATTGCACGCAAGTAACTATTCAGTTAGATACAGTGACGTAACTGAAAGAGGCCTGGTTTTAACATAGAAGTGAGACTCCTGGAAGTAAAACCCTGCTATGCTCTATACTGATCCTTGGGTTAAGAGTACTCCCAGTTGCGAGGGTCACGATTAGTTAACTTTACTAAGCAGTCGAATATTTCATTCCATCCCATTTCCGTTGTATCTATGACAGATTGGCTAATTATAACACGACGGGGTAGAGTTTTTCTAACAATCTATTGCAGGGGCTAAAGCTCTACAATGGAAGGTCTTATGTATACCAAAGTGAAACTTATCCAAAAACTTTTGATCCTCAACACATAGTTATGAATCGGACAAAAAATGTCGCCTCTGGGAGGTCCACGGGTCCACAAACTTCATTCATTATATTTCATATTTTGCGTAAAAGGCATTTGGCATAACTCTAGAACAGAAGGTCCGATGCGAACGAAACTTGAACTCACCCATCACACGTTTTAAGTTTCATCGAAATCGGATAAAAATTGTTACAACCTTGGTTTTATATACTTTTACACTATTTGCGTAAAGGGGAGCGGCCATTTGACGGGAAGTTTCGGTCCGATTTTCAGGAAATTCTGACTCAACCATAATTATTGCTACCTTTAGAGTTAAAACGTGATTTTTCGTGCAATCACGGTCCATAATCCAGAAAGCTACGACCCGATAAGCGCAAATCGGAATATAAATTGTGACCTCCCAGCCGTACCATGCGATAGAGCACGGTCGAGATAGCTCAAGGATGGCTGAAAAGGCTGATACGTTGGTAGATTTATCTGAAAAATATAAAATTGCCGATTGCCAATGCGTTATTTACACCATGGACCGTATTTCAGGGATCATGGTAACACCCGGAAGTTAGAGAATAAGGGTTAGGGTATGGTTTATTAAAAACTCGAGTTTTCTTGATGAATTTGACAGGTTAAGATCTTCTTATTCGAATATATATAGGCCCGCGACAAAAAACTTTGTGAAATGATCCATGTTACCAGTTAACCAGGATGGAGTCAGCGTAAGAAAATGTTTTAAAAGTATTTCTTCATCCCCATGGTAGCCCTCCTCCCTTCCCCAATCAAGAATTGCTTCCGCCGGCCATGTAATAACCTTAATAATTGCTAGAAAAATACGCCGCCGGATTATGAACAACTTGTTTAATAGACTTATTCTATATATTATTATTAGAGATCGCTTCATCACAGCAAAATTTATATTATTTATTCATTTTTCACAACCTTGATACGTTAGCGATTCGTGGGCTTTCTTAATAGGCAAAAAAAATATTTATGTCGAATTTCAATAAGGTTTCTCCTCGTTGCCGACAGAACATCCCGACAAGTAAAGCGGTCCTAAGTTATTACAGTGTCGCCAAATTATGTGACTGCAGAACAGGGCCGTAACTAGCTCAGAGCAACGAGGGGGCGGGAAGTGTTCTCAGGGGTGCTGTAAAATTGACGGACAATGTATATCTATTTTTTATGGTCGACAATTTTTCACAAGGTGGGGAGGGGGTGGGCGGTCGAAACTTTTTGCCCCCCCCCCCCAGTTTTGGGCCTGCTCCAAAATTGCCAATTACATACCTGTTTACTTTTTAAAAAAAATTTCTTTTTTTAAATGAGCGCTACAGAAATATTTTGATATGGGACACATGATATTACTTTCAGCTAAAAAAAAACATAGACGCCATTTTTGGACTCGACAATGAAAGAGCCCCTTTAGAAGGATATATTGGATCAACCAGGAGTTGATTATATTTAGACTGTAAAGTTTTCTAATGTTGACAGTTTGGAACTTGAAGTACCAGTATACATCATGTAAATAGGCCGATCTTGTCAGCGTAATTTTGTTTGTTCAAAGCACATTGGAGTACTTCTTACCAAGCTATGTCTAATTATGTCGGTCAAGAGATATTATTTGAACAATTTTCCATTATTTAGTCCAATCGTAATAAATTTTCTCCTACTCCGAAATCATAGCCATCTTCTGGAATATATGTGGACTTAAATTTGGTCATGAGAATATGAACTCTTTTCAAATATGGCATCAGAGAGAATGAGCCCTATTGATTATCTGTGAGCTGTTATCGCTCTCTACTTCTGCCAGTAACCGTAACTGCATTTCTTTATTAGCGCGTCATTTCCTGATTCTTAAAATATTTCTTTTGGATCAACCGTAACAAAGATCTTTATGTTAAAATTATATTTGGAATGTGTTTAACCAGTTCTGTAATGTGAAACTGGTGGACACCAACATTATCTTTTTGCTGTTTATAGCTGGATCAGTGCACATCGGTAACATTACCCAATACGTATTGGGGTTTCCCAGATTTTTATTGGCAGCCATTGAGCGTGAAGTCTGACAAACTATAATTTCACTCAAGTGTCTGAACAGCCACATTTATTGGTCTCAATTCCAAGGTTAATTTCTTTATGATATTACTTCTGTGTATCTCATGTAAATATAGCTTTGTCCTTATTATATACACACTTCATATAGGTATGCTTCTATTTACTTATTACCATGCCATCAATTGAGTCGTGTAATCTCAAGTGGGCTGTGACGTCAATCTGAAATGGAGGTCACGATCAATACTAGGGAACAAGACGTATTTTCTCTCAAACATTTAATGTTTATCAGACAAGTCACACTATACACGATTGTCCCTTTGAGCATCTTAAAATAACATTGAAAATAATAAAGTCCATTTTGGTACAGTCATTATCCAACATTATATTTGCTGGGATTGTTCAGCTAGTCATAAGGAGGAATACTGTTTCTTTGAAGAATGTCACTTGCTTCCGTAATTCACAGTGAGAAATAGAAAATGGTTATACTATTCCTCACCCCTTCCTGGTATATTGGTTTTATTAAAATGATCGTGGTCCATTAAATAAAGGTTTATTCTCATTAGAGAAGATAGTGTTTCCTTGGGTTACTATAAGAACCAGGATGCTGAAAAGGATACATCTGAATAACAGCCCCCAAAAATCCCTAAATCATCATGATGTATCATAAGGATGGTCATCAAGACCATTGTTCGTTAATGGAGTAAAAATATATCAATTGGACTAGGATGCCACGTCACAACTTTTAAAGAGAGGGAGAGAGAGAGAGAGAGAGAAATGGGGTTTAACGTCCACTCGACACAAATTAGGTCCTTCCGGGAGGAACATATGGTTCCATTTTGTTTCAACAATTCGCTTGTGCGTAGGGGTCTTTAGCAGTGGGTGGAAACCAGGGGACCCGGGAAAACCCACGAGGTGGACAGGCGACCCTACTCCTTGTCACGTACAAGATGGGATTCGAAACCACGCCACTTAACTCAATGACAGACCTTGTCATCAAACGCACACGCGTTAACCATTCGCCCCAACTCCCCTCAACTTTTTGAGGAATTAGAATTTTACAAGTCTTCTCATCACATAACGTATCAGTTTCACCTCCAAGGCGTTTTAATACAAAATTGGAATTTTTACAACACTTGCTTAAAACAATAGCAATTTGAGAACATATACAGATTGTAAACTTTAATCTGATGAGTGGGATGTCTCTGATTCAGTGGTCCCAAGAGCTGGTAAAGTCAAAATATCCTAGTCCGTCAATCGATAAGCAATTGTCCAATGAACAAACTTGACAAGTTTCACGTCGATCGTACATACATTGGCGGAGCCATGGTTTTTTCTTTCGACGAACGTCGCCCCCTGTAAAGGAGAAGAACAAAAACACCAGCAAGAACAACACGACGAGTAGCATTTGTGGCCAAGTTCTGGTCCAAAAATACAAAAAGTGACAAAAATCAGTCAAAAGGTGAATATTGTGCTTAACTGTTAATATTTCAATTATATATCATCGAAGATGATAATATTGGCATAACAGATTTGTCATCAATATAAAATCGTGACTAAGCAGATATTAGACAGCTGGTCATTTTATATCTTACACCCAGTGTCATCTTTCTGCTCTATTAACTACTAAGTTCTAATCACGATCTGCAAATACAACTTTTTACAATTATCAGTAAACACTATTTAATAGTGGACTCGTTATACATGTACTTGAATGTGACACCAATCCTGTATTGTATATTATTCTCTGTACGATTTCCTGCTGCAAAATACTTGCAACTTCGAAAGAAAAAATCTCAAAACCACTGACCTGTAGAGGGTTTACAAGGTTCTGGTGATAGGGTCTATAACATGGCGAAAAATTGTTGCGCGACTTCGAATTTCGGTAGGGTTCCTTATTATGACTATAGCCGAACAGTCCTTACATATTAGAAAACAAATTCGCAAGTTTAACCTATAAATCATTTCCAAAATCATAGGGTGGCGACAGTATACTCCCACATTAAATTTGAGCTTTGGGGCGTACAAAATGGATAAAACCAACCAAACCTTCAAATAAAGCCATATTTTTTTTTTATATCATTCAAGGAATTCAAATAAATTTATTAGTAAACCGATATTGTAAGAGAAAACATCAAAAAAAAAGAGAAAAAACAACAACAAAAAACCCAACACACATTGCATATATTTATTTATAATAGACGATTGTTTTAAGACAGTTTCTCCTGTCTACCACATGACTGAACGAATACAGAGTTAACTATTACTCACGAGGGTATAACCAACAGTTCTTACAGTACTTTGGACATTTTCCAGTTGGATTACATGTTTTCAGACAGAAAAAGAAACACTGGTCAGCGCTTTCGGGAATATCATTTTCATCGATGATTACTTCCTCTGTCGTTGTTCGTTTTGGAGGAGTTTTAAATCGGTTTGTCGTGGTGGATGTTGTAAATGGGGTTGTTGGTACGTAAATTGTAGTTGTTTGCGTTGGCTCAGGGTTCTTCCCTGGTATCACCTTCAACCCAGTGTTCCCAGTATAGGTAATTGCTACATCTGCGCATGAATAGAACTCTTCTTGTACAGGACCGCATCCAACGCAACAAGACTCTGGATCAAGTTTATCCCAGCATCCAAATGAGTTTCCTGTAAATCAAATTCGTCGATGTGGTTGAAACTACCATATTATATATAAGGATGCTTTGTTGAGATATTAATGTTTCCAACAGTTAAAAACTTGCTTTATGATTCTTTCCTGATAGCATATTATAAACAGAAATTATTCTGTGACCAGAGGGGAATCGCAACTAAACATTCTCACTTAATGGGGTGCAACCATTCTAGACAGTGTAAGCATACACAATGGGTGACACAAGACTAAAGGGCGTATGGCTCTATTTTGGAAACCTTGAAATAGACAAAAATGGTTCTAAAAGCACATATTAATTTAATATGAATGTATGTAAAGTGATTTATATTCAATTATTGAAAAAGATATTGAAATGTCTAATCAATTATGTGCGGTGAAATACGTGAACAGTTCAAATTGAACTTAGTGCTTTTTTTAAAATTATTATTTGTCGTTTGTGAATCAGACTTTACCAGTTACTTCCACATTGTGTTGTAGGATGTTTTTACTTGTTCATTACTAAATGTAACCCGAAACCATAGGGTACACGACTCGTGTACTGTTTATAAAATGTTAATTGTGTCTTATATATTGAATATTATGATTCTATAGTTTCACGGCAAGATAACAACATCAATATTGATTGAAATTGATCTATATTGAATTCTAATTCGTGTTTTTAATTTCAAATATTATGGAAAATGTTTAGTTAGAGACTTAGCTCCTTTACAATACTTACCCGTATGATACTTCCATTGAAGTACACAATGTTTACATGTTAGATATTTGGGTAGTTGAAGTTTTAAAGTAAAGATACCATTATCTCTTGACAAATTAAACCTTAAAGATAAAACCATTTATTTCTATCGTTTCAGATCCATAAGGCCCAGAAATAAACAAATACACATACTGCACATACTGGAAAACAGTTACTATAATATTTTAGATGACGTATTCTCTCAACGTTTGTTTATTAGTCTATGAGTTCTGGTAACGTGTTCTCTTTTAATCATTTCCTCTTAAACATACATTATGCAAGAGCTTAATCTGTCTATTGCAGGTCTTTCTTTGGGCCTGAAATGTTATCTTAATTATTAATTAGACATTAATTAACCTATCCAGACCATAATCAACACTAGATGGCACCGCTAGCCTGCGATCTTTAGTGGATTATGAGCCGATTTACTGCATAACTTTCCTTTACGATTTAACGATTAAATGGATAATCGAACTATGCTGTTTATCGTACTGACTTTAGTAATGATGATCGAGGCTAGGCGGAAATTTCAATCGCTTAGTTCTCGGTATATAGTGGATCGATTGCCTTTACATTATCTAGTTTTTAACTATTATAGTTATCGAATCTCCCATAATGTATCTTTAAAAAGTGAAGATTCAAGAATAGTACAATCTTTTTGCAATGTGAATAAGGTCGCCACCATTTTCTTCAGGAATATCAGGTGATGCGTTATCATATAATGCTTTAAAGTCATAACGATATTACTGGGTAATATTGGTAAAGCAGGATGGCGAACTTACCGCGTGTCACCGTTAGTTTGAGGAAGAAGATATTTATCCAAACATTTTTGAGTTGCTGTTTTCTTGGGATCGTTCGTTGGACAGAGATGAAACTCGAAGTAACCCTTGTGATTAGCTGTTACATCAACAACTACTTCCATAATACCACCAGTTTTGTATTCTTCTACGATAATACCCAGACCATATTTACCACCTGCTTCATGATCTCGTGGTACTTTTTGGTCCCACGCATCACCACAAATACCACATTTACCACCGAACTCGGACCATTGTTTCTGAAATATCAGGACTAGTCTATTAGTTCTGTAATGTCTAGTTCGTCCATTAGAATTTGTTACTTGACTATACGGGTTGGGTATGGTGACTGATTGGTATCTTGTCGTGATGTCGCCCTGCATAAGGCGACAACCCGACATCACGGTTTTTTAGGCGGATAATACAGCATTTTCACCCAACACCACGACATTAAAATGTCGTATTGGTGGGTTAAAATGTCGGGTTGTCGCCTGTCGGCTTCTCGGCCATGCTACTCTCAATATACAGTATGATTATGTACACTGATCCTGGTGTTGTCGGTAGTGTTATCTCTTTTCAGCCTAAGCAGAAAATGCTCATCGTCGAATCTGCACCAAATTTGAACACTCTAGCTCAATTAGAAGCATAGTTATTGACTCAAAAAAATTTCCGACGGGCGGACAGACGAACCAAGACACAGACGCGCGGACCAACCGGCAGGCAGGCGTACAGATAGACGGGCGACTCATTTTAATAATCCCCTGCTTTCCTCGAATGACGGGTGGGGCAATAATGACAACTAAATAATAATATGCGGACTTTTTTTCCATTTTCATTCCGAGACCATCATAAACAAAAGGCATATAAAATAAATGACCACGTAAACTGCACTTATTAGAAGTTTAATTATGTCGGCTCTTTTATACACAGGTGTGTTTAAAAATATTAGAAGCCATTAATACAAGACACTATTTTTAAACAAAGAGACATTTGAACTGTTTTAAACACCCCAATATATAAACAGTTTTAAACATGCCAGTTTTTAAACTGTTTAAAGAATTTGATTAAAATGTGTAAGATGTGAAAACAAGACTTACCCCAGCTCCACCACAGTTCAGTTGATTATCGTTATAATTTATTGGCGTATCATATCCCATTCTCCACATGTAAGACCTAGAGGGGGGCTGAGATAATTTGGCATGACCTGAAACATAGGAACTAAGCACCAGGACGAGAAATATCTGAAGATGCCAAGCCATTTTTTGTCTTAAATGACCGACTGTCACCCTTCGATACTGGTAAAACACAATTTAACGAAACATAGCAGCGCAATTTACTAATTGGATGTTGTGAATATATACCTTTACAAAAAGAATAAACCAACAGAAAAGTAAATTAAACACAATATTTAACTAACAAACAACAATTAATTGTATACAATAGAGTTTCTTTATATCTCGAGCCTCTCTATCACGATCATAGCCATCTGTTAACAGGACAAATCCAATCACGTATGTTGACACTCTTCGGGTCCATATAGAACAATACAAGTTCGACCCCTCACAGATAGAATGAGCCCCTCATTGTTACTTACATAATTATCTACTAATCTCTGTATTATTGTCTCGTGCACAGTGATGTTTGTGTAGTTTTAACAGAAAACGAAGTAATAATGTCTAAATGTAAAAGTCTTTGCAAAAACGACAAGAAAAAGAATAAAATGTGTTGTATGTACCATTAACTTCCAAATTAAATCAAGATTTTTAAAATATTATTTTTATTGTGTTTTTGTTTGTTTGGTTGAGAGTGGGGGGGGGGGGCGATAATAATATAACCCTAGGAACATTAATGCGCAATGAAAATCTTGATTGACATATTTCTAAAGAATATTTTCTTCAAACATATAATTTCGTGGCAAAAACATCAAATTTCAGCAAAACCCCTCAAATGTAAAGGCAACTAAGCTCTAAGTACGCCCAAAATCTCATAAATTTTAACCCTTTTCCACATTCCCACTAAGCGTACACCACACCCCATACGTCCATGCCACGCTTTTACCACACTCCCTCCACGTGTGCACCACGACCAGTCACGTCCCCACCACACTGGACCACGTTGCCTATAGAGAAGACCGCGCCACGCTAAGACGGCGCTTCTACCACGTACTTGATATGATGTTATAGCGACTTCCCCCCGAGGCCGTGACGGACAAGCGTGTCGAGAGCGTAGTGAGAGCGGGGCAGCGTAGTGGGAGCGCAAGAGATTTTAGCGGCAGCGTATAGGGACCGCACCAATGTACATGGCTCGATCGGCAAGAAACTGACCACGCGCCCACCACGACGGCGCCATGCGCTTACTACGCTCAGCGCGCTCCAATCAAGTTCTAAGCCAGGTTCTATATACTTTTTGCTCGTGGTGAGAGCATAGCGCGGACCTCGTTATGTGTGAAAGAGCGTGGTGAGAGCGTAGCACGATCTTATTGGTCGCAGAGAGGGTGTGGCGAGGTTTTCCTCAGCAAAGAGCGTATACGTAGACGTTCTCCCCGCTTTCGGCGTGCTGTACCCGCTATGCGGATAGTGTGCATGTTCCATACCCACAAAATGATGTGTCCAACCGTATTCCTACCATGACCCCCCAAACCGCCCGTATTACTCTGACAAAGACATCGCCACATCCATGCCGCTCTCAACCACGACCTGGCTGATGATTTAAGCCGCAGCGAGGTTGCAGTGTATATTAGCAAAGAAGATAACCATAAGCCACCAGCAAAAGTAACAAAACATTTGTAACATGTATCTAATGTTATTTTCTCAAAATGCAAAGAAGTACCAGGGCCCTGTTTCACGAAATTTTAACTAAGATAAAACTTTGGATTTTATCTAAAGCAAGGCTGACACTTGCACGATTCCGTGGCACGCATTGGCACGACTCGAGTCGTGCCAGTGCGCAAACTAGTCGTAAACTGGCGTGAAGTGTGCGTAAACCCGTCGTGACTGCGTGCCATGTCGGGACGAGAATTTTGAAATGTTCAAAATTTTGGTCACGACAAAATTTAGCGACCGGGTCGTGAACTATGCGCAAACTGTTTGTGAACTCGTCGTGAACTCGTCGGGACGATGCGGGAGGATGCGTGCCAGTGCGTGGCAGTGCGCGCCATGCCACGACTGTCACGAACTGCCACGAATAGTTCACGACTAGTTCACGAATAGTTCACGACTACTGCGCGACAGTGTCGTTTGCGTCGGTGCAGGTGTATATATAGGGCTTCCTGGACACTGCTTGCCATTCCAGAGATCGCCAGCAGGACACAGGCGCACATGCTGATCAGGTTGATAGTGTCGGGGTGCTGATGCATCGTCGTAAAGAAGTAACGGAACCTTTGAGACAAAATTCCAAAGGAATTATCCACGACACGTCGGGCACGAGACAACCTGTAGCTGTAAATGCGTTCTCGTAGGACCCGTGACCGATGGGAGAATGGTTTCATCATCCAGGTTCGTTATCCCCTACGAAGTGATAGGGCACTGGCTGGTCATCATTAGGGAGTGGTTCTGGTTGAGGCACTCCAGCTCTGTTCTCTTCTACAGCATCATGCAGGGAACAGTTACTCCATGTTCCTCCATCCGACGCACCACCCTCTGCCCCAACATCCACATAGAGGAACTTGTAGGTAGCACCTGCCACTGCCATCAGAACAATGCCGTGGAAGCCCTTGTAGTTGTAGTAGTAAGAGCCAGCATTGGTAGTTGTGGTAGTTGTGGTAGTTCCATCTGGAGCTGAACCTGGCAGTAACTTCCTTCCACTCCTCTTCAATTTTGGGGCAGCGCAGCACTTCGTCCTTGTAGACCGCGATGATGGCTTTACACACCTCGGGTATGAACTTGCAGATGGTACTTGCTTCAACCCTGAAGCTGTACTGCAGACTTGGATAGGAATTATCAGTGGCTAGGAAGCGGTTCCCTCATGAAGGTGGACTGCTTCTGGAGGCGAGGGGTTAACTTCTCAACTATCTCTTGGAACAGGTCAGGTGTGATTCTGAGGTAATTTTTGTAGCCCCTTTGATCTTCCTTGTGGAGTTCAGTCAGTAAACTGTCATACTGTCCAAGCCCTTGCCTTCTAGTCAACCATTCCCTGGCATCTTCTCTTCCCTGCAATGATTGTGTCTCTGACATTCAGCATGTTGTCTCTTCCACAGCCAATCCAAAAATGACCAGGGGTTGGGGAGGTCCCCTTTTTATATGGCGTGCCCAAGTCGGCACGACACCGTTCGAATTGCGCAAACTCGTCGTGCCAATGCGGGAAGTGCGTAAACTATGCGCAAACTATGCGTGAACTCGTCGTGCCAGTTCGTGTCAACGTGGACACTGATGGGCACGCATTCGTGAACTCGTCGTGAACTATGCGTGAACTAGTCGTGAACAGTGCGGGAGCCTCCCAGTTCGTGCCCCAAAATGGCACGACTTGCCACGACAAAATCGTGGCCAAAAGTCGTGCAAGTGTCAGCCTGGCTTTAGTTAAAATTTCGTGAAACAGGCCCCAGGTGTTCTAAACATTATTGAGGAATTCGGCGAATTGGGAATAACCTGGTGATAATTGACACTGTTACGCATGAATGGCATTGCACTGAGCTGAATATTTAATACACCCTTGACGCTTTACAAATAAAAAGACAAAGTTTATGCCCATAAAACAAACAAGAAGTATTGTGCATATCTGGGTTCAAACTGTGCAAATTATGTCATAAATTCAGTTATTATAAACCCCTGGTCGAAAACCGGTATAGTGTGCGGACATTATCATTATGTTAATGTTTTATCTATATGAGCCACGGTGGCTAGGTGGTTAAGACGCTGGCTCGCTAGCCTGGAGGTCGGTTGTTCGTTCCCTGCATTGGCCGAGAAAGTTCATCTGGATTTTCCGACGTGGTTTCCCCTTGTCAGTGGTGCAGAACGGAGGGCCTGACAAGGACAGCTGTCTAGTCCTTCGGATGAGACAAAAAACCGAGGTCCCGTGTATACATTGGAATGCACGTAAAAGATCCCTTGGCAGTTGGAATTCGATATAAGAGTAGGCGATGGTGCCGCTCCCCGGGCAAAATTTCCCTCATAGCACACTGTATGGCGTATGCCCGTCTTCATTAGCCCAGTATAGGAGCAGAACAGTAGGACGTTAAACCCCATTTCATTTCATTTCATATATGCTAAACTGCATTAATCAAACTGCTAACTATAATATACAACAAAAGACCCATCGTCAAGCGTAGACAGCTGCATCTGACTAATTATGAATTAATGTACCGGTATATCAAAATTAAGAATTGGAATAGGTATATGTAATTTTATATTGTATTCGTTAGAAGATACCGACATAATAAAAAAAAAACACAAAAAAAACCCAACGAAATCTACAATCTATAACGTCTGTCTGGAGACAATCGATTATTACAGTTAGCTCCCTTAGCCCAAAACAAAACAAACTATACAATGGGTAGTGTAACCCTACTGTCCATCTTTATACAATGACGTTATTTATGAATAGTTCCAAGACGGACGAAAAGTACTTTTAAATATTAAAATGTTATTAAACCAGTGTTGAAATCAGTTTGTGTCGGCATACCTTTTATCTTTTCATCGTTTGCCGTGAAACATAGTAGTGCAGCTTTACGGTTGTTCTAATATTTCTGGATATATATATATATATATATATATATATATACACACACACACACCCACACCCACACAGGTCTGTCATCGAGTCAACTGGCGAGGTTTCGATTCCCCGTTTTCAAGAACGTGACAAGGAGTAGGGTCGCCTGTCCAACCTCTCCGGGTCCTCCGGTTTCCTCCCTTTGCTAAAGACCCCTACGCGCAAGCGAATTATTGAAATAAAATTGAACCAAATTTCAGTCCCAAAATGATCCAGTTTGTGTCGAGTGGACGTTAAACCCCATCTCTCTCTCTCTCTCTCTCTCTCTCTCTCTCCCTCATTTCCATTCTAATGACTATAAATCAGAACCTCGTAAAGGTTCATTAAAGATTTAGTATTCAATGTGCATTTCAAATCACAAATTTAAAAATGCCCCAAAGAGACGTACCCGGTACGGATTATACGAGTATGATCAATAAGTCTATATACTTTCAAATAAAGTGAAGCTTAATGGGGGGCAGCATCTTCAACGATTTATTTTCCTTTTGAAATGAATCAGTTTCAACACAATAGACACCCGGTCTCTGTTTGTTTTTTTTTAAGGTTCGTGACAAAATGTAGGATTTATTTTTCAATTCTAATCTTCATGACTGCGCAAAATTGACTTTCATCCACTACATAAATATGTTTTATGAAGATTACAGTTTGAAGTTAAAATAACTATATATTTATGTAACACCAATAAAAGTTTATTTATTTGTTTAGATACCTTCTAAAACACTATTATTATGAGATACCTACCCTCCGCATGGATTAAACAATTCTCATGGTCTCATTTTAAATGTAGGGACATTGGATATTTTCGCTTTGTAGATAAGGTGTAGTCAATTTTTGCATATAACCACACATTGTTGCTGAATACTGACATTGCACATAGCACTGTATACATTTTATCACGAATGTGATATATGGGTACACAGACCAATGACAAATATAGATACAAGTTTTATGTGTTATATTTCAAGTTTTTTTGCATAGATTTATGCTGTAATCATTACATCTTTTGTTTAACTTGCTATTTTACTTGCAATTCAAATTAGTACTGAATAAAAATAGCAGCATTATACGACAATATCTACCAATTAAAAGAAAGTACGTGTATATTATAATAAGGAAATGGGGTTTTCAAGGAGAATTTGTAGAACAAAATTAATTGTTAGAAATTGCTAAAATAATCTATGTCCCTTTGCAGTTTACTTTTGATGCAGAAAAGGATATGCATAAAACACTTAAGGATATTGTTTGGTATGGACTGTATATATGGAAAATACTGTATGCATTATAATATCTTACGGAACAGAATTTTAAGTTGGGGGTAAGACAAGGGTTGCTACCATTTCCGAGTTTATTTGATAAAACAATCGACGACTTAGCCGAACGTCACTTTTTTTTCTTATCATAAGCATAAAAATATTTTTAAATATTGCTATCTTAATTAGTTTATGTGGTTACAAGGTTGTCATAACCGAGAAACAATTCTGTGTTTTCACTATCTTTCCTTAATATGAATGAATGCTGTAGGTCACATGAAAATATTTGGATTATATTTTATTTTAAATTTTAAATACGCAGTTAGCTCTCTTTTCGAATCCATAAAGCAAGTGGGTGTGTTTCCAGTTCAAACGTATTCTTTAACCATTATTATACCCTAAAGCTACAGAAACAGAACATTGCGATTGGTGCATTTGCCAATTTAATAAAATTTGTCGTCATCGTGTTCTCATCTTTTCATACTGGGTTCATTTTTCCTTAATGGTTCTTTCAATTTCTAAGTGGGTTATATTGACATTCGCTGAATGCGATTTTTGTTAGATGGAAATAATTATATATTACAAACGTACTGCAGAAACTCTTAACTATATGTACTAAAAACAATCAGTATTTTTAGAAAGATTAAGCGCACGCTTGCTTTGCATTCGGGTTCTGTTTTAAAGATTTTAGTCCTTAATAAGTTCTTAAATATAAAAAAAAAGCTAACAAAATACGGCGCGATAGTTTTTGCGATATATCTTCTTTCTAAAATCCATTGATGATAGAACAATAATAGATATAAGAATGCGGCATCCTTTTCATCTTAATGTTAAGGGACTATTTGTCCGAATTTCAGATGATAATAGTGAGTCATTAAGATATATTAAATCATAACCATGGTAAAATAAGATAACCATGCAAAGCGTAGAAATACGCCCACGCAACAACAAAAGATAACCAGAAGACAGCAGCTGATCCGGAAAGAAGACTTGAATGTTGAGCAAATTTGATAAGGCATAATATCTTGAAGAAAGCTGATCTTTATCTATTCACAAGCTTTTCCAGACACGTGATAGATCTCAGGAACAGAATCCTGAAAATCAACAGGCTTCATCTTCTCCGATCTCAATGCTTCACACCAAAATTGGAAATCAAAAGACTTCATCCTCCCCCAGGCCTAATGTTTCACAGACTTTTTTTTATAAACTGTATCCTCAATCGCCTTCACAATGTTTTCGTTCTTTCATGACTCCAATGCGTCATGCGACATTTTCCTACAAATCCGTTAAAAACTGTGTGCTCTATCGACGTACGGACAAGGGTGGCGACACAATGAAATAAATATAAGAAGCCCTATAATATTATAGATGAGAATAAATTAATTGTAATTTATTACGTCTTTTGGAAATATCAAGAAATAGGTTTATATCATCCTCGTAGGTCAGTGCTTGTGTGGAGATTTAAAAGTACGAAAACATCTCAAATATTTAAATTTATACGTTAAATCTTCAGATTTCACTATGTCATCTTTGTGTAATAAAACTATCAGAACTCCTGGAATATTAAAACCGGGGAGTAAAAAGACACCGGGAGTAGGTTACTTTCTGGAGTATTCATTTTCCCAGCTGATTCCGGCGCTAATATCGTCTGACACTGAATGTACGTCATGTTAAAGGTCAGTGGGACTAGAAGTTCTAGAACTATACTGTAACTCTAATAAAATTTGCCAGAAAAAGTGATAATATTCTCAACTAAACCCGTATGAAGAGTCTGGACAATCTTTTCTGTGTAGTGACAAATGTAACAGTTGTCATGCGACCTGCTCACGAAATGTAAATATCTGGAGACATTTATGGCCAGTTAAAGCTATTGAGGAATTTAAACATGGCGTTACAGATCGCAGATGGTCCATCGCTGTTGATTGATAAATGTGCCCGCGACCGCTTGTCAAAGAATTAAGCAGTCATCTTGATTTTCTGTATCACCTGGGTACGGAAGTGCTACGTCCCACAAGGAAACTGAAGCCTAACGATAACACGTGCTTCGTCTAATCAACGCCGACTTACAAATTGTCGCCTAGATGGGTTGAAAACATCACCACTACAATGGTTTGACCCGAAGCACAGGTCAAATAGAAATAGTCCCTGTCATGAAATGGAAGTTAATATAGATAATATGTGTAAACAATTTAAGTACTTCAGCTGTTGTTTTTAGCGCTACTTCATTTGTATCACTGGGGCGAGCAAGGCAGCGTTTGTATTTCCAACGTGATTAGACAATTTGTAACTTCGTGGAAAAATAGCAAAATAAAAATTCTAACGAAAATCTTGACACAAAATATACAGATCTAATTATCAGTTGCTTTGGAAAAAATTATTTCTTTTCATAAATATTGCTTAAGAGATTCTGTATTTTTAAGAAACGTGATCTGTAGTGTAGACGAGATTCAAGGTTGATTCAGGTGCAGGGATTACTTATATGAATTCATTATGGCGACCAGTAATGAAGACTTTTAATCTTTAATTGAGAGTAAAGTTAGCGAGGTGGTGGAAAGAATCCCACAGGGATTTGGTCATCTTGAAGATAAAGTGACAGTTTATTGTGATTCAAAATATCGGATTAACACATTTACGTTGTTTGAAACTCTTACTTGGTGTTGAAACTTTCATCACACTTTCTTGTTTGCCCATCACTCGGAGTTACAAGGGAGCGAAAGAAAAAGAAAGAAAACTTTTGTATCCCGGGAACATCCATCTATGGTTGAATCAGACCTCCTAGAACCTCACAGAGAATTTCTTTTACCGCAATGGATTTTAATACTGAATGTTCGATGAATTCAGTTTAAGAAAAAGGTTTTATAAAATTTAATATTATCAGTTTACATATATTGACTACATGATGTATTGTAGTGATTTCATAAAGTTTATTGCATTAACTTTTGTATTGTTTGCGGTGAAAGTGAAGGGACATGGTCGTTTAATAGACCCGCCATCACGGGCTTCTATGTGGAGATATGGATTTGATTTACCACAGAGTGATTATGATGACAACCAGGGCTACTGTGGTGGACAACAGGTAAGTGTTTTCGTGGTAGCCGGATGTACGGGATGTATAGAGTGGTATGAATATTGTCTCATTAAAGTGCGCGTTGATTTGATAGATACGTTGGGTGTTTTCCTTGCAATGTCTGTGTAGTTTGCGTGTCTTATCCGCACTTGTCATTTGTGGTTTTGTTTTTGTAGCGCGGTCGTTCTAGCTGCAATTTGCAACATTTAAAGACGCATTATGAAAGAGCTATATCTGTCTATCAATGTCCTTTTTTCTGGCTTCAGATGGTATATAAATTATTATTTAGACATTTGTAATCACGGCAAACCCATAACCATCTCGGCGTGGTTCCCCCTTCGCAGTGGTGCAAAAGAGCCTGTCAATGGGTAACGTATAGTTGTTCTGATGAGACAAAAAACCGAGGTCCTGTGTACACATTGTCGTGCACGTAAAAGAACCCCTGGCAGTTGGAATTTGAAATAAGAGAAGGCCGTAGTGCCGCTGTCCGCTCAAAATTTCCCTCATAGCACATTGTATGGTGTATGCCCATCTTCATTAACCCAGTCGGAGTAGGACGTTAAACCCCATTTCATTTCCATAGCCATCTCTCTAGAGCGATGTGTGGCTGAGATATTAAGTAGATTAAACTATGTCTGCCATCTTTGCTAAACTATAAAATTGAAGAATCGAGACTTCAAACATTCATAACTTTGCTCAGAATAAATTATTTGACTGACATTTTCAATATATTTATTTTCCATAATCTATTTTTAAAGTACTGTAGCAAAAACGGCCAACTCTTGTATCTAAATCTTACATAACGCATCTTATATACCTACTAGAATCATTCTGTGTCACTTATCTTTATTATGGCGTGGCGAGGACAGAATATATTCTAGAATATTATACTATCACGTTTTCGCCATGTAGTCGAAATTTTAGACAAATATATAAATTTCAAAGAATATATTTACACACAAACAAACTCAACAAACAACCAAATTATCTTACCTCTCTTCTGTCTGTTCTTACATTTTCGCAACAATTTCTTTGAGTAAATGACTAAAGAACCAAAATATAAAAAACGTTCCTCGATATGATTTTACAAGAAATTATGATTGGGTCGTTTTATTTAATAAACAATTTTTTATTTATTTATTTTAATTTTTTTTGCTACTCTAAATTTAACTAACTCTTAAATTTTGAAAACTAACTCTTAAATTTTCTTCACTTTTTAAAATTAACTCTTAAATTTCTTAAACTAAGTTTTTAAGTGTCTTAATCTAAGGGTTAAGTTTCTTAAACTAAGTTCTAAATTCCTTAAAGTAAAAATATTCATCGATTCTTGAAGTACTTGATGTTAAAGTTATTGATAACACCATTTTATCATATTTGAACAATCTTAGGATAATATTAATTTACGAACTTGTTTGACCAGTACCAAATGCAACATATTTTGATATCGAGTTCCGTTCGAATTTTTAAATATGTGCTTTTCTCAGTAAAATGTTGAAATATTTGTTTCGGCTTGATTGGATTGGGATTATCAGTGACATGTTATGTGGCAATATTTGGGTTGTATTCTGGTATTTTCTTTGCTATGTGACACGTAAGAGAGAAACAATCGATTTCTGGCTGACCATAGTTACACGTCTGGTCGTTGGTTTAAGTATGTCGCCATACTGTCATCATTTAGTTAACGCAGAAAGTCTCCGAGTCGAACACCATCACAACGCAGCTCGCTGATTTAAGCTGAATTCACGGATTAACTACAACAAAAATAGTGCCAAATAGTTTAAAAGATAAACAGATTGTCTTATAATAGCAAGGTGCGACAACCTCCATATATAGCCAAGTATTAATACGCTAGCAAGGTCGCATTTAGAATAGAAAAAAATGCCATTAAATATAAAACCGTAGGCTACGTGTTTAATAGGCTGTCACCTTATAATAATAATAACAATTCCTTTGATAAAAGGCATGAAAGATAAGATAATGATATAAGAAACCGTTTGCAATCTAGCACAATAAGCCGTTTGTGTTCATATCCAAGATGTCCGAACCAAGCTTGTGAACCTTTTATGTTGATTAAAATAAGTGTGGTCAAAATAATTTGATATTGAATTAAAACCTGACTTTTGATCTGCACATTCAGGTGATGTAATTTAATAATGTCACGCACCATATGTCTAGCGAAAGAGAAATATACAAGAGAGAAAGCATAGGCGTTATAAAATGAAATGAGGTTTAACGTCCCACTGTTCTGCATCGATCGGGATAACGAAGAAGTGGCATCCGCCATATTATGTTGTGCTGTGAGAGAAAGTTTGCCCGAATAGCGGCATAACGGCTTACTCTTATAAGAAATTCCAGCTGTCAAGGTGTCTTGTACGTGCATGCCACGGGGTCGGTTTTCATAGGCGTTATAGGAACCTTATATGATAAGGGGTGCTGTAAAAAAAATGGCCTCGAATTTATCGATAAAAAACACCTGAAAAAGTAATTTTGCTCATGAAATCTGCGATTGTTTTATGCCATTTGTCTCCGAAAAATTGTATTGCATTGGTCAATATACCCCCAAACCAGTCAAACAACGCTCGGTAAATATTCTGAAATTTTGACATTTGACTTCGGCAAAAAACTGCAACAGTTCTTCAATAGTTTTTTTTAAAACAATTTCAGCAATTATGGAACAGATTTAAAGGTATTTGTGGTGTATGCGGAGATGCCAGAAGCCCAATCCCACGTGCTCATGAGAGAGGTGGCAAGTACTATGCTGGTACTGTAGTTAAAACCTATCAGGAAGGAGATTCCATTGAAGTTACCACTCAAATCACAGCCAATCACCGTGGTTGGTATGAATTTAGACTATGTGCTTATGACAATCCCAGAGGGGAAGACTTAGAACACGATGCTAATGGTAATTTTGTGGAAGTCAGCCACGAATGTTTAAATAAGCATTTATTACAAGTTGAAGATGGTGGTACGCGATGGTATCTTCCAGCACCATATAAAGTCGGTCTGTATACAGTTCGAGTGAAATTACCAGAAGGTCTCAGCTGCCACAATTGTTTGTTTCAATGGAAATGGAATGTTGGTAAGACTGCTGTTTATAAAATAAATACTATCAATCTATATCGTTAAAATACCATTGCTAGTTGCAAATTACATGTATGTAGAAACAAATAAAATAAGACCATTATAGTTTTTTATCTACAGAGGGTACGGATAAAGCCAAAATAATACACGTATCTGTGATTACCCGACCGATCCTATTTTATTTAACCCAAATCGCCGACCCTTATCTTTTTGTTCATTTCTCAGGTCTTATAAATCGGTCTTGGGTTGTTTTTCTGCAGAAATTTTGGTATTTACAACCGTCCAAATCGGCGTTATTTTCTAAAACTTACATATTAATTTAACCTGAGCAATAATTTATGGGGTCGGGGCTAAGACTAATTAACTGATTTACTAAACATTGAGTTATTTTAAGAAGTGTAGGTGGATCTGATATGTCATTTCAATTATTTATTGGGAGGGGGTTGGGTGGCTGAATGGTTAGCACGTGCGCTCTTTATCATAAGGTCTGTCATTGAGTCAACTGGCGTGGTTTCGAATCCCCGGGTTGTACGTGACAAGGAGTTGGGTCGTCTGTCCAACCTCGTGGGTGTTCTCCGGGTCCTCTCACTGTTAAAGACCCCTACGCGCAAGCGAATTATTGAAATAAAATTGAACCATGTGTTAGTCCCGAAAATACCCAGTTTGTGTCGAGTGGACGTTAAACCCCATTTCTCTCACTCTCTCTTATTTATTGGGCAATATCTGTTGGGTTATATTTTGGTTTCGAAATATGTACGATTAAATTTTAATTTCAAAATATTAAGCGGAATATTGTTCGCTAATTGTGTTTGTTTTGGGCTTGAACGCTGGAACACATTAGCTCTATAATTTGTGGACTTAATGATTTAAATTTATACTTATAACCACTTCACAAAACAACGAACACATCAAACTTAAATCGACACTTTCATTTTTAATAATTAATAACTATTTCGTTTTGTAATTTTAGCCAATAGTTGGGGTTCTGATCCAGGTGGAGAGTCTTGTATTGGATGTGGAGAACAGGAACAGTTCTACGCATGTTCGGATATTTCGATTGAACCCCGTTCTGGTAAAGTACCCCCGGGAACTTGGACCCCGCCTCAGTTACCACCAAGACAACCCCAAGTTCCACCGAAACGACCATTGCCTGAAAAACCTAAATATAAACCTCAGACACATCGACCATATACGCCTGTACCTATACCACATAGATCCACCCGACCACCGATTTTCACATACTCTCCCATATTCCCAAAATATACACTTCCTAATTCCATACCAAAACAAAAACCTCAATCGAATCTTCCTTCATGGATTCCGTCGTTCTCTACAAAACAGCCGACATGGTATTGGTACAACCACAAGACTGAAGCAGGCAGGACACCGGGAAGAGGAACTCCCGCTAGTGTGGGAACCTCCAACACCGGTACTTCAACGAGTACCGGAACATCATTATTTTTTGACAAATCAAGTTTAAGAACAAATGCCCCAACTAACCCCCAGACTTCAACTAAAACAACTGCGACACACACGAATAAAAAAGCACCTTCTGTTCGATTTTGGAGCTGGCTTGCCAACAGGTTTTCGCCAAAAGCTCAACCAACTGAATCTCCTATTCCGACCACCACACCAGCTAATTCACCTTGGTGGGTGAAACTTCCTACCAGTAAGAAGGTCATTCAGTGGTGGCATATTATATCTAAATTTAACAATAGAATAAGCGGGACAACAACTGCAGTTCCATTACCTTGGTGGGTTAAAAAAGCGAAATCTTCACAGGAACTTCTACCAAAGTTCTTCAATGAAAAGTCCAAAGACATCGAAAAGGATAAAGTAATAAACAGTATATCATCTGCGGCATCTAAAGATGCCCCAGCGCTATCCATAAACCAACCAAGTCTTAGAACAGAGCATATAGGTCAGCCCATGCCCGTGCAAATTACTAAAATTACTAAAAGAAAACGTATTTGTACACCAGTTGGGAAATTAATACAGTACCCTAACATGTGGCTTTGGTGTGACGTCAATTGTTCTAACAGGCATTGTCCAACAACACATTGTTTATGTTCCGGCTAAGACCATTCCAATATAAAAAGACCACAATCCAGTATTACAAACAGTTGGAGAAGTACGGAAGACAGTAATTATTTTTGCGACGAAGATCACAAACTGTTTAGCCTTTTGTAAGTGCCGGATTTACCCGCCATCAAGCTATAGGCATCTGGGTAGGAAGATCATTCATTGATTGCTTGGTTTCTCGGTTTGTGGTGTGTTTAATGAAATAGATATGGTTGTGTATTAAATCCCTAGTCAACTATAGCAAGATCTTAAACTTAATCTGATTCATAAAATATCGTGGGGATAAACCTTTTTCACATATTGATGCAATTTCTCTATACCATTATTCATGCTATAGGCCTACCTTCAATCTAGTTACAATTGGATCACAATTTCGTTTCGTATATATTTCTCCCATTTTTCAACATCAGAAATGTAACGAAACGAAACTGACATCTGATTTGAATCAAATTGGCTATGTACGTTGCCACCGAGTAGACGATTTCATGTCATGGCAGTGTATGTTTGCCATCATGTCGCCATATTGTTGTGGATTAAGTTATATGTACATTTATATGTATCTGCCTCTTACAAATCCATAATGTGCAGTATTCTCTGTCATTGGTGTGTAATATATCATAATACTACTTTAGTTAGCTTCAGTCTTGTAGGAAATATCAGATTTGTTCGTAGACGTATTGTATACGTAGTATTTATTCTTACCATGTATATTAGTTATTAATAAATGTAAATATTGTGGAAAAAGATATATTATGTTATATTGTTAATAAAGCATAACAAAATGTTTAAACATTTAAGATATTCTTAAATATAAGCTCTAAATCATACTTTTGGAATTTGTATATCAGTTTGTTTCTTCGCCCATGCACAAGGTGTTAAAGTTTTGTTTTAACAAGATTTCCGATCCATTTGAGTAATCATACTGAAGTGTATTTTATAACATTACATTCTACGTAAAAGAAAATGGTATATTCACCATTAACAACTTGAAGCCCGACAACCCAGGTTTTGGCTAAAATCTAGCCAGAAGAGGACTATCTAAACATTAGATCTTTCTAAAATTCGACATGAGTACTTTTTCTGGGTTGTTATAGGACTGTAGACCATCTGCAACCCAGTCACAGTAAAATGTCAAATGCATCACCTTCCCAATACAGCTTCTACAGGGTTTCGATGTCTCGCCCGTCGGAAAGAAATTCATATTGTGGAGGCGTCGTTGGGGCAAAATGGAGCACCAGAGGCTTGTCCCCAAGACACTTTAAAAGCTATAGTAATAAACACATATTTGTCCCCAATCCTCTGTCCCGACGACTCTGGTCAACGGCAATGCAGTGATAACCGTCCACCATGTTACCCTTTGAAGTTGCCATATTGTCAGGCATGAGTGCAGAAAGACTTTACACCAATCGTCCATATTCCCTCCAGTAGTGGGCATTCTTCCAAGCTATTATTATAACCGCAAACCAATACTCATCAAATTTGTCTTCTAAACTTATAAAAATCTCTTCAATATAGTCAATGATGTACCAGAGAAAAACGATTCTTTAGTCTAGTATTGCTTCCCGAAATTTCAAGATTTCATGAATATAACATGAATTAATTAAGAAAATCAGCTATTAAAATGTCACAGCCTTTAGATTCCTTTGACCGAGCTTAGCAAAAACCCCAGGAGGTCAACCCACTTCAATATTTTTATCAGATGATTGGGAAACATTGGGTTGGGGGGAGGAAGGTGCTTGGGTGGATTTATAGCCCGGATCCTTCAAATTAAGCTTCTCAAGGGAGGTAATCCATAAAATGTTAGGATGCCGACAACCACTTATTTCTCCACTGACTATCATGTTAAATTACAGGGCCCTATTTCACGAAATTTTAACTAAAGATAAAATCCAAATTTTAGTAGATACTTCAGTTTTCATTGGCTAAGCACTAAAATCAATCTAATATTATCCAATCAAATTACTAAAATTTGGATTTTATCTTAGTTAAAATTTCGTGAAACAGGCCCCACCTGTTCTATTATATGCTGTACTCATTGCCTAAATTTCGGCGAATACACCCTTTACAACACAGCAAGAGTTCTTAAAATTTAAGTTCAATGAAATTCATAGCAGGTTAGGGTCAGAATATAATTCTGGAAAAATTATTGGATGTCTGCCCCCGTTTACCAAAAGTAACAAAACAGATCTAAACTAAGCAGCTTTTCTTCAGATGAATATCTAACCATTTTATGAGTACATCTACTGTAAATACAATCATCCCAGCGTCAGTCTGTCATGTTTCTCAATATATTTGATAAAATGCAGGTTTTACAATTCCGCATCGAACTCCCACGCATTTCTTTTATTGGTATAAGTTTAACTTCATGGCCCCAAGAAAGCATATATATATATATTATGGACGTTTTAAATATATATATATATATATATATATATATATATATATATATATATATAAAACGTCCATAATTCTAATCGTGACCATTTCATAATATATTTACTGCAGTGCATTATTATTATTTCTGCTACAAGTAAATAATGAAACTCGAGCTTTTCATGTTTGTTTTCAACGTGACACCCCCCCCCCCCCCAACAAACAAACTTGTCTGTAATTTCAGTGCCTAGAGGATTCTTTTTAAATGTTATCACTTTTGAAATATTTTACGAAGCGATAACACGCCCTATATAATAATGCTGATTTATTTGACAACATTGAACTAATAAATACTAGGATTGTATAATGTGAACCTTGCATGCACCCGTTACATAGTAAGTACATCGTATAGGTAAATAAGGTATACAATCACAAGCAAGAAATACTGAGATCTGTTTTTTTACTACGCAAACTAATGTTTTTATTATTTGTGCTACGCACGCCTTACTGTTTCATCCTTTGGTATAGATGAATTGGGCTGGTTACAATTTATTTACCCAGCGTTTTATACCAAGATCTACATACCTGCACGTTTATTTGTTAGATCACTTGATATTATTGTGCAAAGTAATGACCGCTTCCATTCCTTTTTATAAAGGCATAGTCTACTAATGGAATGCAAAGGGATGTTTTTTTGAGCTTTTTGATATTAAACACGATTATTGCAGTTTTTCCGATCATATTTCGGATGCTAAAGGTTAATCTCGTAACCATTGCTTCAGGACTCTCTCGATATTTTAACCGTTTTTCAAAACGGTAATCTTCAACAATCATCAGTTGGCGGAATGTGCTGTATGAACATTTTATGTAAGGAAAAAAGTGGACATATTTCCCAAACGTTGTATCATACGTGAGAACCATGATGGGCTATAAGAACCGACTAAGATATAGCACAATATGCCTTAAAAAGCGGTGAGCGCGAACAAAATTCAATAGGTAACCTTCTGGAAAATTTAGTTGCTGTATGACGTACTTCTTCGTTTCTGGAAGTTAACAACACCGTACAAAAACACCTCTAATACATACAGTCCTTTTGATTCTTGTTATTTCTTTAAAGGCATCACGCTCTGTATTCAAGTCAAGGCATCTTCTCATTGTATTATACACAACTCTATAAACATTCATACCCACAAGGTGTGGACTACACACCCCATTCAAACAAATATTTATTTAGTACATGCTAATCCCTTCAAGATAGTTATTTTATTGTATGTAGATCACGAGATGACCATACTATCTTTTTGACAGAAAATGTCGGTAAAGGCAGATATCAAGAATTCCATTCTTTTTCATTTATCAAGAAGTTGCTGACCATGGCGCGTGATTCCCACCAACTCTACGGTCATTTGTTGATTACAGCATGTGTACTGGCTGTAGTTCTTGGACATGGTCGTCTGATCCGACCAGTAGGTCGCGCAACCATGTGGAGATATGGCTATAAAACTCCTCATGACTATAATGATATGGCATTATACTGTGGTGGAAGAGGGGTAAGTTTCTATTATTTTCATTCCAGCCTATAACTTTCCCAAAAGTGCGTTACCGACACTCTCAACATGAATTGTTATCACCCTTTTAGCTTCTAGCTTGAAAATGAAGTATCACAATTCTCGAGTTATGGACCCGTTTGTGATGTTGGTTCGGATAGTAGAATTGAAAGCATATAAATGCTGATTTTCTGACAAAATTCCCCGCAATGCGCAAACAAAACAACATACACTTACTACCTTTCCTACTGGCATATTCTTGTTGATTGATATGTCTCAGCTACAAGTGACCCCGCCCCGCCCACGCCCTATGCTTAAAACTGTTTACAATATTAACGAAATCTTGTCCAAATTAATGTATTGGTTAGTTCTGTATAAACTTGCTAACATGGCTAACATGTATTAAAAACTGTCGCGTACTACTCCACGATTAATATTCCAAAAATCCGGTATCTGTCCATTCCCTATTATGTACTTTTGTGTAAATCATGCTTAGCAAAATATTCATAGTTCTACCTGGAACTTATCCAGTTGAAGAATATATATCGTCAAAAGGGTCTATTTCGAGGAAATTAGTCAAATACACTTTTTTTGCATTTCTAAACTCTCCTAATTAATATGCACATTTCTGTCTAAGGTGTGTATCTCTACACCAATTAGAACTGTTCTAGGTATCATGTGTCCAAAGGATGTATCTTCATTTGTGGAAATGTTGAAATGCAAAAGATTCTATCTCTTTTGCAAAGAACACACAGAAAAATAGTTAATGAATACATGCATTTATATGGGAGACTAAGCAAATCTTTATTCAGTGTTCTGAATTCTTATTTCTTAATTTATAGTCCTTATTCTTATTTCTTCATTTGTTTCGTATTTCGACATTAGTCATATCAGATATGTAAATTGGACCTTTGTTTAATTTGATTGTAGAAATAAGAATTAAGGACTATGAATTAAGAACTAAGAATCAAGAACACCAAATAAAAAGGTTCCATTTATTTATATATAAGTTTCATATTCTTTCCATATAAAATTTACCTGGTAGGTTTATTTTATTTCACTAAGAATCCCAAAAGTATAAGCTTTCAGAAAGTTTTCCTTAAAACCCAAACAATTTAAATGGAACCATATTGAACTCAAACATGTTATTCCTAGACCATATCATACATTTTATGATAATCTTTTACATTCAAACCCTCTTTAAGCGCCCTCTAAGTTTGTTTGTGAGGAATTAGATTTGTTTGTGTTTTATTCATGACATAAAAAATAATTTTGAAAGCTTCTGTTATGGCGTATGGATATGAACAGGTATGATGATCAATCCAGAAGACTCCAAAATTACAACAAGTTTGTCTGTTCTGTCAGACAGTCACTGGTTTTGTTGCTATTAAACTTTTTAAACAATTTAATAAGTGTTCTTATAAATATGTTGTATGTCCTGTTTAGATGTCAGCTTTACTGTGTCAAAAGGTTGTATCTCGAATTCAGACAAGTACAAAAATTATTTTATGAAAACATCGTTGACAAACAAAAGATAACCAAATAGAGGGTTAAATATGTTAGGTACACTACTGTGGACACAACAGTAAAATTATGAGATGGCTTTTTTGTGTCTCCTGAAAATTTTTGAAATTCCTAAATTTAACCCTTTGACACTACACCGACGATATGTATGAGTCTTTTTGCTATGTGTTTAATGAGATTCATAATAATAAGTCCCAAAAGAATAGCCAAATGTCATCCATTAAGACACCGTGTCATACAAACAATATATCTTGAATATGTTTGATAGACACCTTTCAGTCGACATTGTGCGTGTGACCCTAGAATAGAAATTTGACGGCTTTTAAAATCTTATGTCCAGTTCGGGTATAAGAAAGGATTTAAATGTCGCGTTCACCTAATACAACCACAGGCGCGTAAAACATGGAAAATGTCTTGCAAAATAGCATTAAAGGCGCATTATGTAGGATTTAGACAAAAAGCTGACAGTTCTCTCTCTAATATACTAAACAGTAAACAAAAACGTCAGTACAATTTCAAAATCAGAGAGGTACTTTAATCAAATCATTCTAGAAAACGACTTACTAAATGGATCAAAGCAATTTTTTTGTGAACAGCATGTTGACACATTAGTGATTAATTCATCACAATTCCAAGACATTACGAGAAGGTTTAGAGTCTGTACACAGTCTATACATCAGTATCTGGTGTGTCCACCACGAGTGTCAATAACAGCAGCGCAGCGTCTGTACATGGGGTGGACCAGACGATTGATGAACGTCATTGGCTCCTGGAACCACACTCTCAGAAAAGCCTGGCGCAACCCATCGGCTGTGTTTGGTCTCGGTACGACGTTATTAAGTCTTCTCTGAATTTCATCCCAAAGATGTTCAATCGGGTTTAAGTCCGGACTAAGGGCTGGCCAGTGCATAACGTTGACACCGTCCTGCTGTAGAAAGTCCCGGGTAACTTTGGCGGTGTGGGCACGGGCGTTGTCATGCTGGAATACGTTTTTTCGATGACGTGCGAAATGTGGTATGACGTGGAGTCTGAGAGCTTGATCGATGTAGCGCACTGCTGTGATGCCGCCTCCTCTCCCTGGACCAAGATTTTGGATCACCACAGGACCCACTCGCTGGTTCAGGCTGATTCCATCCTAAACCATTAGGCTTGGACCTCCCCATGAGCCTCGTTCCATAAGTCAGGTTGCGTTTTTGAGAACATTTCCTGGGTTCAATTCTGTGTTTGGGAAGGAGCCTTATTGCTCAGGGAAAGTTTGAGATGTGGTCACAAATATACAATAAAAACATTTGGCAAGTTTTATGCAATGCGTTTATTCAGAGTAACATACCAACCTTACGTTTCTTTGGCTGCTTGGTATAGTTAAAAATTAGATAATGAAAAGGGAATATTTTCTAATTTCTATCGAATTAGTTGATTCGGGTTTGCATAATAGTGTAGTCTCGATTATCATTGCCACATAGTCTCAGTTATCCAGTTTTAAATTAAATCATTAACTGTCTAATTAATGATTTATATAACAGTTGAGGCCAAACGAAAGATCTGCATTAGGCATTAGACAGATTTAACTCTTAAATAATGCATTTGTAAGCTGAGGCAAAGTATTATGGCTAAATTCTATTACCTCCAGCACGGCAAAAGGGGACAAGATATAAAATCACCTAAATTACTCTATTATTTCAAACATAGAAGCGGTTTCGGAACACTTTTAAGTTTTTAAAAGAGATTTTCCATTTTCCAAACGCCAATGAATACATCAAGGCAAAGAACGCAGATTCAAGCACAACTAAATGCAAAAAAATCACTGCCGTAAATCAATTAGAAAACTGTCAAATGTGTACACCTAATAGTCCGATCCTTAATGTAAATCCGTCGGCTTATTGGGTAGAAATCGTGGAATAGGCTTTATTTTGAAGGTTTCGATGTTTATTGACAAAAAACAATATTCTCATTTTTTCTGAGTAGGTCTTCATGGTATGGGAGGCCATTATCTAAGGGTAGCCATTTTCGATAATATCCCAACTTATTTCTTTTATTTTCACCCTATTTATAATGTTATCGACATATCAACTGTGATTTGGCACTGTATTAGTATTCACAGGGGTCATGACTATATTTCAATTTTTTTCCCATCAGTTCATGATGATATTTCCAAGATGGCGGCCATCTTTAGTGGGGAAAATGGGACGATGTGAAGATTTTGTTTAAGAGTAGTGTTTAGTGTCAATATATATGTTTTCGGGGTCTCAGATTCCATTTCTGACATTTACGAACTTGTAAAATGATCACCTGTTCACATAATTAGCATTATTTCCAAGATGGCTGCCATTTGTGGCGGGAAAATGGGTCGATGTGAAGATTTTGATTTAAGTAGTAGTGTTTGGTGTCAATATATATGTTTTCGGGGTCGGAGATTCAATTTCTGGCATTTAAAACCTTGTAAATTGATCACATCGTCACATACTTAGCAAATTTCCAAGATGGCAGCCATTTGTGGCGGGAATTGGGACATGTCCAGATTTTTATTAAGTAGTAGTGTTTGGTGTCAATATATATTTTTACGGGGACGCAGATTTCATTTCTGACATTTACAACTATGTAAAATGATCATATGTTCACATATTTAGCATATTGCTGATTTTGTTTAAGTAGTTGTCTTTGGTGTCAATATATATGTTTTCGGTGACACAGATTCGATTTCTGCCATATACAACTGCGTAAAATGATCAATGATCAATTTAGCATATTTTCAAGTCGGCAGAACGTTTTCTAAACGTATTATCATATATTTACTTGTCGTTGTTATTTAAACGTTCCTGCGTCAAATTCAGCTACGTAGGCTATTAGCTTGTAGCATATTCCTGGAAGCCGATACCGTGTCGGACCCATTTGGTATATTATCCAACGATGAAAATTACTGACCCGAGATGACCACTGAGCTGATATCAATTTTCCCGGAAAAGAAAAGGCTATTCACTTGGTCTCCTGGCTGGAAGAGAGCATAACGACAGCGTGGGGCTTGCGCCACATTGACACGCGCCCAGCATGCTCCTGCCACGACCACACCAAGCGCTTTTACATCACTGCCACCAGTTCTTTCAATGGTGATGGCAGTGATATCATTGATGACGGGTCACGTCGTCGTTTAATTGGTGATATAATTTGTTCGCAACAGCATTCCTTTGGACGACTCCTTCCACACGCAGCTTTACGTCAGTTCTAATCTATGCCACGAAGTGTTACTATTTCATTTACAGTCCTTGTTTTTATTTCTTTGTATACCGCTTTATATTTAATATCATACATTTCTGTTCTACTTTTTAATTTATTAATTACCTTTTTCAAAAGTTGTAAGTCTCACATTTTTAACCATCGTTAATTTTGTATCTATAACCGACAGGCAATATTTTTTATTTAAAGTTTATTTAAAGTTTGTTTATTTCATTTTCAAGGTCAGAGACCCATAGAACATACATGTACATACAATGTGCACAATTGTCATAGACTTTGATATAATAAGTTACTATACTAGGAATGTCTTAATCATTAAAGTTATTAATATAACAAAATATCAACCAATTCATCGAGGTTAAGTGAAAATATAAATGAAAACGTGCAATATAATACGTATTTGTAGTAATTCCGGTTTAGAGTATATTATACAGGGATAATGTAACTGCATTGGGTGACCTTTTTCTTTCTGAAGGCAAAATAGATAAACTTGGCGACTGACATGGATTTTTAGTTGACATGAGAATCTCAAGATTTTGTTGTGAATTTGCTTTTAGATGTTTGTTGATAAAAGTAGATCTAATGTTACTGTATAGGGGACAGCTGAACATAAAATGTGATTCGTTTTCACATAGGCGTACGGACTCGATGACAGTTAGGGGGGCAGAACCTGAAATGCCCGAAAAAATTTTGGGTTTACAGACAGCGGCGCCGGTCTTCCTCGAGAGGCAAAGAAGCGGAGCTTACCTTGTGTGGACCCCCCCCCCCCCCAAAAAAAAAGAAATTTTGGAATATTTGACGGCTGCAAACACGTTTTCCTGCTATTTCTGCCAGTGAACAAAGCAACTTCAAAGTAGTCTAATATAGGCTAATTAAGATGGCTGACTCGAATTCCAATCAAAAGATCACTCGTTTACAGTCCACGGAGACGGGACTGTTCGGAGAAGATTTAACTGCCGCAAACGCGTTTTACTGCTATTCCAGTCTTTAAATACAGCAACTTCAATTTGGTCCAATATAGCCTGCCTGGCCCGTGAACAAAGCAATTTCAAAGTGGTCTAATATAGGCTAATTAAGATCAATCGTTTACAGTCCACGGAGACGGGGCCGTTGGGAGAAAATTTTGAAAATTTAACTACCGCAAACGCTTTTTCCTGCTATTCCAGCCTGTGAATACAGCAACTTCAATTTGGTCCAATTTAGCCTGCCTGGCTGACCCGAATTCCAAACAACCAATCAGTCGTCGCGGGGTATGGGGGCTTCACCCTCCCAGAGAAAATTTTGAAAATTTAACCACCGCAAAATGAATTCCAACCATCCAATCAGAATGTTGCAGCTGCATTCACAAATAATAATCGATGCCCGAAAAATGTCGCACAAAGTAAAGTGGCTCCAGTCAACTCAGTACAAATTCGTGGTATTCAATTAAAAGAAAAGTAAAATTAGTGTTTTATTAGGGCTCGATGACAGTTAGGGAAGCAAAACTAGAAATGCCCGAAAAAATTTCAGGTTTACAGACAGCGGCGCCGGTTTTCTTCGAGAGGCGAAGAAGCGGAGCTGACCTTGTATGGACCCCCCCCAAGAAATTTTTGGAATATTTGACGGCCGCAAACGCATTTACTGCTATTCCAGCCCGTAAAATTAGTGTTTTATTAAATTTCGGGCACTTTATGAAATAAAACATTTTTTTCACTTTACCCGTCTGCGCGAAAAGTCAGCTTGCCCGAAAGTTGGGGGGGGGGGAGCTGCGACCCGAAAACAGATATATTTACACCAAAGACGACTACTTAATCAATATCAGAAGACCGTCCCATTTTCCTGCCAAAAATTGCCACCATCTTGGGAATATGCAAAATAGATGAACATGTTATCATTTTACACAGTTGTACCTGTGAGAAATGGAATCTGTGCCCATGAAAAGATATATATTGACACCAAAGACGACCACTTAATGAATATCAGCACATCGTCCCATTTTCCCGCCACCAAATGGCCACCATCTTGGAAATATGCAAAATAGGTCCACATGTGATCATTTTCCCGCCAAAAATAACCGCCATCTTGGAAATATCTTCATGAAGTGATCGAAAAAATCTGAAATATTGTTACGACCTCTTCCAATATTAATACATTGCCAAATCACAGTTGATATGTCGATAACATTATAAATAAGGTAAAAATAAAAAAAATACGTTTGAATATTATCGCAAAATGGTCACTCTCAAATAATGGCCTCCCATACTATGAAGACCTACTCACAAAAAATGTCAACATTGTTTCTTTATCATTAAACATCAAAAAGCTTCAAAATAAAGCTTACTCCACGATTTCTACCCGAAAAGCCGACTGATGAGAATTATGTAACAAAATCGGACTATAACAGGAAATTCGCTTACCAAACCAAATGTAGATTTAGAACACTTCGACAAGATGTAATCGGGTATCAATAAGAATTTAAAATCAAATTAAGAATTAAACCTTTGTAAAAGCGATTAAATGAGCTATTATGATCTATTTCACCAAATATAATTTGAATGGACATAAGATGGGTTATTAAAGGGTCTTTTTTCACAAAGTATTATAACGACAGTACGTTTTATTTGATCAATATTGTTGAATGTGATTTCCCTAAAACAAACATAACCTATTTTGACATTTTAAAGAGTGCATTTTAAATCATACAATACATAACACGTGCCGTTTTAATGGTGACTGGCACAATGTTAGAAACAAGTGTCATTACTTACTAAAGTAAATATATAAAATATATTGGGTATAAGAAATACGTGTATATTGTTGATGCGTATAAAAAGTATAGTGGTACCAAGCAATGGATTTATGACTACCAGCATAAGTGATTGGTCTACAAGCCACGGACATCTGTGGATACTTTACAGGGTTGCATTTACAGACACAATAACTCCGAGTATGATTAGGATTCTTTCTTTTAATTAGACAAATCCCTGACCTGTAGCGCAATAACAAGTTGTTGTGATAACGACAATGATTCAAAGAAAAAGCACTAGACAAAGAGTCACAGAATATTTGAATGAAAATTGCAAAAACTCTGGCCAGTGTTTATAAGATTTCGGTGACGAGGTCAATAGCTTTGTGTAAAATAGATGCGCAACTCTGAATATAGAGCTCGCGATTCCGCTTATTGTTGTATGCCAGAGATACCACTTACCGTTATTTTAGTTTGGGGATGTCACATTTCTTCGGTTTTATTTTTAATAAATTATAAGAACATTTGTCAGTTTTACAATTTGTATCAGTATTACTGTTAACCCAGGCCCCTTAATCTGATGTTCAAGATAGCAAAAAAATTACATTTTGGAGAATTATTTTTTTAAAATCTGTGGCCAGTTCCATCCAACAGTTTTTTCCATGATATATACGAATTCTTTGATTCCGATGAGACTTTAATTATTTACCCCAGATTATGGATATCTTGTATCGCGGTTTTCATCCTTTGCACTTTGGTGCGATTCCCACTTTTGGCAACGTGATTCTTTTCTTATATTTTGCACGGGACATTTGTTGATAAAATACAGTAGTGTCGATTCTAATGGACAATCAAATTGGAAGTTCTTAATTACAAAACCTCAAATTAATATAATACTTTACCAGGGGAATCAAACATAGTAAGAATGCTTTCAGCAAACAGCCTAAAAGGTTTTTATTGTTGTATATTCTGATCTTACAGCACCAATGGGGTGTTAATAATGGTAAATGTGGTGTCTGTGGTGACCCCTATGACCAACCTCAACCCCGTGACCACGAAGCAGGAGGGAAATACGGTAAAGGGATTATAGTGGAGAGATATAAACAAGGCCAGATTATTAAAATTAAAGTAGAACTTACGGCCAACCATGGAGGAAACTTTGAGTTTCGTGTCTGTGACACCAACAACCCCAAAGTTATAGCAACAGAAGAATGTTTAAACAGAAATCTGCTGGCCAATACGGCAGGTCAGACTAAAATACAAGTTATCCCAGGAAGAGATTTCAACTTTGAACTTGTGTTATCACCATTTCTAACATGTACTCATTGTGTTTTTCAATGGAAATACGAAGCAGGTATGTTTAATATTTGTTTTTTGAAGCTGCACTGTGGATTCTGTTGGTGATTATTGTTGTGGACGTAACATTTTTTCAGGTACCCCGATCTTCTGAAATACACTTCCAAACCTTTATTCTATATAGCTTAAGTTATGACGTGTACAAGCTAACCTGATATAGTACATTCAATAACAGTTTTTGTATATAGGCAAATTTGCATCGCTGGCACTTGTTATTGGACGCCTTTCGTATTGAAACAATTCAGGACGCGTTGAAACCGAATTAGTTTGCCATATAACGATAGTACTGGGGGTGTCATGTACTGCACAGAGCTTGATTACCTGTTCTAGAACACTTGATAAAACGTATTTGTATTTTTGTATTTGGGAGGTTCATATAGCTGGCATTAAGGGCAAGGTAAAGTGACAAAAATCGTCACAACACCTGGAAGAGGGGGGGGGGGGGGTCCACAGAAAATCATTCACAACATTAATTTGTAGTGCCTGTATTTTGGTATCTAAATGTGCTTGAGATGACACTGAACAATAAAAAATGGATGAAAGTTATAAATAATGACTTTGGAATTTGTAATTTCGGAAAATATGAAGCAAATATACCATCCAACACTGCGCAGCTACAGGGTAAACAACACGACATTGGAAATCACAAAGTTTCACATAGATGCCTGAATATACCCACAACAACCAACAAGACTTCAAATTTTGAAAACTATCTTTGTTTTAGCACAACAAGTCCATATAATCAAACTTTCTTTTTCAAATATCCTCCATTTTTTACTAGGGACTAGTTTCAGACATTTTGTATGGAGTACCATTATCAACATCATCTTGATGAAATATTTCGGGTTTATATGGAAAATAATAAAGACTGCATCAAAATTTCCTTCAAACTTTTGTTCTCAACTATTTTTATAGGCCTAATGAATACACATCGCGAACGTTTTTATGGCTTCATTTAATTCACCTTTGGAAACTTTTTGCCTGGAAGCGTAAAGATACACTGACAATTAAACATTGGACATACGTATTTACTAATTTTTACATTAAAACATTTTGTAATACATTTTTTTAATCTTTGTTAAATTGTACACTATTAGTCTAAAACTGAATATGGAAATGTCCAGCTGAATGTTTGATTGGAACAAATGATGTGTTGCAAATGGTACTCCATAGAACAGAATTTGCCATACAAATATTATATTTAGGTAACAAATTCTGTACCAAACCCTAAAAATGCTTATTATTCTAACATAAATGTTAGTGGGCGTCGAGTGGACGTTAAACACACGTGGCCAGACTTCCATTGTTGATGTATGAAGTTTTTATGGTAAGCCATATCATATAATGTTAATATAAGCCCCAAAATATTGTCTGTCTGTTGGATTCTCTTCAAACTCCGAACCACTCTAACGTAGGATTATCCTTGCGACGCCCAAACCAAATAATGTACCCTAGGTAATTTAGGTAGATGTGCGTAAAAACTAATTAATATATTTTTTATTTACAGCACAGAACCCTGGTAGTAAAAAGCAAGAACATTTTATCAATTGTGCTGATGTGGCAATAGAACCCAGAGTTGTTCCTGGAATCCCACAACCTTACATTCCACCGACCCAGAAACCATACATTCCATCAACCCAGAAACCATACGTTCCACCAACCCAGAAACCATACGTTTCACCCACCCAGAAACCATACATTCCACCCACCCGGAAACCATACGTTCCACCCACCCTAAAACCATATGTTCCACCCACCCAGAAACCATATGTTCCACCCAACCAGGCACCATTTATTCCACCGTTCCAGAAACCTTTTTTTCCACTTGTTCCTATTCAGCACCCAAATACCTCTTCACAGGTGACGCTTCTTCCACCCTTTCAGATTTTAAAACATAAATGCCCTATGACGTGTCCATTCTATTGTGCAATGGGACCACAATTATGTCCCAGTGAATGCAAGAAATGTAATCTAAAATACTAATTTTTCAGATTTTTACAAATTAATTTTAAACAGGCGAAAACAAAAATGTACTAAATATTAATAAAAAGAATTTTGTTTTGTAAAATATTGTTATATTTACTTCCATATTGTAAATGGCGGAATATAATTTAGATTTAATTTTCCAATAATCTATAGGTAATACGTATCATATTTATGATTATATATCATTTCAACTGTGGTCGTTTGAGTTTGGGTTAGAATGATTTATTGTCTTGGCGCAAAAATACATTTTAGGCATTTTCTCCCCAATCATTTACTACCCGTGGTAGTAACCAAGGTGCATCAGCTTATCTGACTCAATGTAAACCGATCGATGTTAGATTGCAGACTATCTCCTGGTGTATTTAGATGACTTCCACAATCTACCATTGACCATTTTGTAGTGTGACGGATGTAGGCTTAATACGTCTGTTTCTGCCCTGACATTGTATATCTAATTAACACAAATATTATTTATAATGTGGTAAATATAATGGGAGAATTAGATAACGTACTTTGTAAAGTAAAATCTAAAAATCGATCACACAGGTGTTGCAAGTAATGTCGCATCTGATAATTTGTGTTTATACAATTGACGTTAATTGTTCCGAATGAAATGAATTGGGGTTTACTGTCTTCTTTTTATGTAGTATGCTATGAAAGTATTTTCCCCGAACAGTGGCGCTACGGCCTACTCTTATTTCGAATTCCAACTGTCAGAGGTTCTTTTACGTGCCTTTCAACGTATACACAAGACAGCAGTTTTCGTCCCATCGGAACGGCTACATGCTGTTCCTTGCTAGGACCTACATTCTGCATCACTGACAAGACGAAACCACGGTGAAAACAGCCGAGGAACTTTCTCGGGCTACGGGGGGTGGGGGAGGGGGGGACGAACCAGTGACCTCCAGGTTAGTGAGCCACCGCAGCTCCTCGTTCCGAATAGACGATGCATCTTTTACTCTAATTCATCAATGAACAGTAAGCTTTATTTTGTCCATATTAAAAACACTACCTTATTGTTTACTACTTTGTCTTTGGACTCTATAACAAGAAAATTCGGACTATTAAAGAACCAACAGTCTAGACCCTTCTGAAAAGTCAAAAATACGTACTATTGTAATGTAGAGACTCTTGTTACTGGTTAATTAGATACACCCGAGTTTAACCAAGAAACCTTCATAAGGGATGGATTATGAAATCAATATATTCTTTGTAATCTTTACATAGGCATAACTTAAGTTTTTTTACTGACTGGCATATTGGGTCTTTAATACTTGTACCAGACAGTTTGTTATTAATGTGTAAATCAGCCGATATTTAACAAGTTAGGTCTACAAACAAGGCTAACGCTGATTTTGCGTTCCACTTTCGCCTGTTTAGACCAAAAACGAAACTAAAATTATTATAAAAAAAACCTTACTTACGCTTAATATTTTAAAATAGAAATAGAATCGTATGGATTTTGCCCCATCTTTAAATGGAAGCGGTTTAGTTCCTTTAAAGTAACAGACTGAATGGCTTTCGTGTCATTGTTAGGAAAGAACGCTATTACCAAACTAGTCACCATTATAATTTGTTAAATCGTTATCGCCCACAATGTAGAAAATAAGTTTATTCAATATTTGTAATGCTAATTCGGACAAATCCTGTGCGCGAGAGCGTTATTGAGGCCTCAAATCGATGAATCGTCATGAAACCAACACAATTCAAATTGGATAGACCTATTGATAAACGGGCAACAGCTGGTAGTAAAATGTTATTTTAAAATTCAATCATAGGTAGGTATGCGTTGTTTATATACATATACGTGTACAGTCATTATTTTCAATTTGAATTGATCCTGTGATATAACACTGTGTTTATCCAATTGAAGGAATCTACCATCGGCTGTATGTTTTCTGTAGTGTACGTTTGGTGGTAATATTATAGATGTAAAGTTATAACAGCAGTCAAATGTCATCAGATGTTCCAGAAAGTGATATATACTTAATGGATCCCGAAAGTGATGGGTAAGAGACAATTCTATTTATATCACTTAGGAATCTGGGATACATTGTTAAGTACGGTTTAATTTTGTTCTTTCAGTTTTAATTCAAAACGTCATATAACGTAAAATACAAATATTCAAGTGGTTTTTTTTTAACCCCTAGGAGATGTTCAAATTATTAATTTTAAATTAACATCTTATTGCATTATACGCAAGCCATAACGTTGTTCGCGAATACCATGAAAGCGATGCTGTTGTTTCTTTATCATTCACGAAATTCAATAATGATAATAGGTTTGCGTAACATGATTTTGTTTTATATTCTGAATAGTCTGATTCTCACCATGTCCATGTTTTTATATTTCCATTTTTTTATTTTTTTTGGGGTGGTGGGGTGGGGGTGGTGCTTCGGGTTAGGGTGGTGATTGAGTGACACGGTTCATTCACACCCCTTTAAGGTACTGTGGTTTCTGAGAATGTTCACATGAATCCTCTCCTTTCGTTGATTTAAAGTTCGATATATATAAGTTATTTTAATAACCTCTAAGGTTCGAAGGTATATAGGAATTTTCAGAAACCTTACTCTTATATTATATATTGATAGAAAGCTCGACGATAATTCACTTTTACCGAAGACCTTTCTACAGCGTGTATGTTAGAAGTTGTCAAATGGGCGAAATAATTAAATGTATATAAGTTTATTGTCTTCTTTTACTCCATTTTTAGCGGTTCATAGAAAGATCTGAGATGAACAATATATACCGGTGGCGGGTCTACAATTATACTGATGAGGACCTTTCGCAATCAGTAACGAGATCTAGGTAATCACTGTTAGCAATTGATACTAAAGATATAATGTGTTAATATGTGGTTTTTTTATATTTCAGTTTAAGGCTTGCTGGAATAAGGATGGATCATTTGATTTTTATATTCTGTGGATTAGGGTTAATATTGTTTATTATATATCTTATGTGGAATTCCCAGTGTTCAGTGGATAAGTCGGAGAGCGAGGAAACGAGGGAAATCGTGAAACCCTCACCGATATTCGCATATGAACTTGAACCAGGCATAGTTGTAATGCAGAGCAAAGATGGGGAATTCTTTCGAATTCTTCACGAGTATGATTCATCCACACGTGGCACCAAAAACTATGGTTCGTCATCTAGTTCTCAGTATATTCAAATGGACCCTTCTCCCGTTCACTATATACCTCACTATACTAGACCTGTACTACAAACACAGCCATCAGCTCCTCTTAGTCCAGATCTAATGGATATAGGACCTTCCGGGTCCGAACAACCACCTCCATATCATACGAACATGAGAAGATAGACGAACACATACTATGTAGAATAGATATTGAACGTGGATTGCCCTAAATATATGAATATTTGTGATTTTTTCCCCATCAAGTCTCGTGTATATGCATTTTCAATCCTTAATCGTTGTACATGTTATTACATTTCTGGGGAAGTCATGTACAACTATGTATAGCTGTAATTATTGTGGTATCACACTGTATTTTTACTCTGTGGTGGTATTAGTATAAAGTGTGTTTTGAGGAAATCAATCTGAATGATAATATAATTACAACCTGCCATTTGTATATTTTTTTTCGAGTCCCTTTTTTAAGGGGTGAAATTAAGAGGTTTTAGGCCCATATACGCGGTTGTCTGTTTTATTACTGACTAGCAAAGTAAAAGGAAAAAGTGCCAATTTCCATAAGCTTAAACTCATTTAAAGGACAAAATTGGTGTCAGTCATTATCACATGTGATAGAACAGGTTGTGATATGATAAATAGTCATGGACACTTGACATGCTTTGGGAGTATGTTCACAGATGAAGAACTTATCGCCCCAATAGAACCACTGGGCTGCACATACGACACGCAATAGCGCCATACACGTGGGAGGGGTTCATTGTCAAATTTGATACTTCAAGAAAGGGTTGATGAAAAATGCCGTTTGCTGGTTTATCCTATCCAGGTTTGCTTTCCTATCGGTTCTTGCATAAGATTTACTGTTTAGCGTTTCTTTGCTTTAGTGTGTTACGTTTTATTTGATCGGAAGACGTGTTCGTCGACGTCAACGTCAACCGACAACACTGCAAGAATTGACCGTGGCACTGCAAGAGGAGTGGGTCAGATTGCCCCAAATCGTGATTGGGCGGTTGATTAGGAGCATGCAACGACGAATTACTGAATGTCTGAGGATTGGTGGGAATTACTCATTATTAAGACAAAAATCTAAAACGTTCATTTTCACTTTTGACAGCGTATCTCTTTGCGAGTGAAATGGGACCGTCAAATAAACCGACTATATGAACTGTTTATGTTCATGGGTAGGCAATTGGCATGTTATTAACATACACTGGTTAACTGTAATTAAAACAGCAGTGCATTTCCGCAGTTTTGTATTGTTTCTGAATATCCCCTACTTTTTTTGAAGAGTATATAATTCTAACACAGAGATCATTGCTACGATAGATGCGTTATGAAGACTTCAAGAAAGAGAAGTGACGAGCGCAAAATGAAAACACGAGTTGTCCTTTTACATAATCTGCTCTATTGCATAGGGGCGGGATATGGACATTGCAGCACCACGTAGAGAGAAACTTGTACATATTCGGACAGCTTCCCGGTATGTACCCTAAACTAAGTAGGTCACCAAACGTGGTTTTCATACGTAGAGAATACTGGGATTTAGTATACGAATTCATCGCTCGTAGTAAAATCCCTAGCGTTATACCCATGCAATCTTATATTCTCATCTTGATGCAGTACTGTGTTATGTTCGGAGTAATAAGAGAAAAATTCATATAATAACAATCTGGACAACAATATCTCACCCCTTGCATTACATGAACAGGTTTAACAAATTTAAAAGAATGTATTGGGATTCCTACCCCATGAACAGGTTTTACAAATTTAAAAGATTGCATTCAGATACCCACCCACCCACATTTAACACATTTAAAAGAATACCCACCCCATGAACAGGTTTTACAAATTTAAAAGAATGCATTCGGATACCCACCCACCCCAACCCACACGCTGATATAAATCTACTTTTTAAATGCTCGTTATTTAAAGAAAAGCTAGTGATATACAACAGTGTTATTCTTTATTTCAATACAATATATCATACAGCAGAAAATAGTGGTTCGGCATTATACTTAAAACATATGGATCATCTTGGGCAGTTTGTGATCAGTTCTGGGAAACGTAGAACCATTGTTTTTGGTCAACAAACACCGATGAACAACGTTCAGCATGTCACCATAGCTATTCTATTGAGAACATCTGTAAAGATAAAACCTGAATCAAGTTATTTTGTTCATAAAACTTACACTAATAATTGAAAACCTGCTAAAAACACGTTATTTTCACCTATAAAATTCAGAATAGCTGAAATGATGATTGTATCGTTTTGATAAAATATGTTGCCAACAACGATTGTGCGCCAACTTGACTATTTCCTGATGGTAAACAGAACCTCACCCAATCACCATAACTACGAGACTCGTTCGCAGTTTGACTTGATACTCGGTTTGGCTTGAGTGAAACCGCATCGGTTACCCCCTATTTTTGGATAAAATCATGTTCTATAACAGCCGAGAAGGAATTTATCATGATGGTACACTTTTATTTTCATTGTATTTCTGGGTATATAACAATGATATGATTAAATGGATTTGGCTTTCTGAATATGTGCGGGTTTATTGTTTCGGGGGGGGGGGGGCGGAATTCAAAATTCCGCGATCAGAAATACCTAAGTAGAAGAGATTAGCTATCATAGTCCGGAGTAGGAGTAAGAAGATTCGGACTACTTACATAATATCTCACAAATAAAAGTAACGGTATGTGGGGTGCGAATTATAAAGTCAGTATTTGACTGTTTAAAGGTGATGAAAAGCATTCCTGCAAAACTTTTCCATCTAATGTTTGGGGTCTGTTGAGTTTAAATGACAGCATGCTGCGTGGTCTCAGAGTGAAGTGCAGCATATATCAAAAATATCCAAAACCGTAAGGCAATGGCACGGTATCGGTGGCAGTGACAATGAATTATACACAGTTACACATGTTGGAAGAACAAATACGATCGCATTGCGATATTACACATCCTAATAGTTTTCAGAAAATCACAAAGTACATATATAATATAATATATTTCAAAGAAACAAAATACCATAGATCATTAATCTTAAGTGAGGTTATGTGAGGAAAATACATGTATAAAATCATTTACTGTCCACAAGTGTGGTACACGGCATAATTCAAATATCTGTGTCAATTTTTTCAGATGTAGGTTAAGCATAAAATCGTTGCATACTCTAATATTAAATGAAGAGGAATCTGGTATCAGAGATCATCAAACAGATTATGACGAACACTTTAAAATTGATCGACAATAAATAGTTAATAGCATTACAACTTTACCCTTAAATTCAGCCGAAAATCAATGGTGACCACAATACACCAACATCGAATCAACGCTAACGCCTACAGACATATGGTCTTCATCGTAGAGAACCATCTGAGTACAAGTTTTAACATCGCCGCAAGCAATAAAAATGATTTTACCAATGACAATTATTTCAAGTCAACCGTGAATCCTATAACGAAATTTATCTCATAAGTTTCTAATTCAAGTTGGTTATAACTAAAATATATTTAGTACCATTACTGAAAACGGAAACTGAGATCACGATGACACATGGAGAGAGTTGGAATAGTGGAATAAAAAAGGTTGATCAAAAATATTTTTACGAACAATTTGGTTCGGAGGGGTCCAACTAAATATAGGTAAAACAAGACTTGATCATTTAGACTGCAGCTGCATATTAATACCAAATGCAGCAGAGAGAGAGAGAGAGAGAGAGAGAGGATGGGTCCCTTGGTCTGGGCCTAAAATTTTGAGGCAGGGGTGGTACTGTCAATGGCTTTAATTGTTAATGAAGTAAAGAGAATCCGATGGTCGGGTGTAGGGCAAGGCTTTAGCCAAACATATTATTTGTATGCATCTACCCTAACATAAATCGTATGCATTTTATTAGCACTGAATACAAGTTCATCCAAATGTTCGTGGTTCCCTATTGTCAGTGATGCAGGACAGAGGGCCTGACAAGGACAGCTGTCTAGTCGTTCGGATGAGACGAAAGACCGAGGTCCCGTGTACACATTGACGTACACGTAAAAGATCCCTTGACTGTTGAAATTGGATATAAGAGTAGGCCGTAGTACCGCTATCTGGGCAAAATGTCCCTCATAGCACACAGCGTATGCCCGTCTTCATAAGCCCAGTTCGGAGCAGAACAGTAGGACGTTAAACCCGATTTTATTTCTTTTAATGTTAATAGGTCTACGTCATTTAGAAACCACCGAAGAAAATAATTTATTCAACAGATCCATTTCGGTATTTTCGTCCCGATATTCTATTAATAGTTAATATATTACGGCGGTTAAAAAATCTCCATTTGTACACGAAATTCATTTACGGTGGGAGGCCGCAGTGGCTCAGTGAGTAAGACGCTGTCTCGTTCACAGTGCTGGACTTTTCGGCGTGGTTTCCTCTTGTCAGTTGTACGGGACGACAGGCCTGGTAAGAAAAGGTATCTACTCATTCGGATGACCCGAAACACCATGGTCCCGTGTACCCGTTAGGAAAAATGACATAGCGCAGTGTTGGTGTAAGCCAGTCTTCATTAGTCCAGTCGGTGTAGAAAAATTGGATGCCAAAACTCAGTTCTCTTTATTTTGCTTTTACGAAACGGAACTGACTGAGCCATGTGACAAAATCATTTTTATTGAGGTAACGTTATACGTGGATACTATATATTTAGATCGTTTTCAGCAAATTCAATCTGATTAAAATATAGATCCATATTTCGTTTCGTTTTTTATATTTTCGATGGCCTACACTACATGAAGATCTGATAAGTTGTACTGGAAGGTTGTAAGAGCGGCTTTTGACCTATGATGTCAGACATTGACTAATCAATCAACATAGACGTTTCTAGTGGATTACACACAGTTCCGTGCATGGCACGCCAAAAAGTCGCCGTAACAGACCGTTTCATTGGCTAATCCGATACTTCAACCTAATGGCCGGTAATATAACAGCTCTTCCAGATTCTAGTGTAGTGAAGACAAGTAAAATGAAAATTTGAACTATAAAAAACGAAACGATATAGGATCTGTGATTTAATCCGATTGCTGCAAATTCTAAATGTGTCACATTTCTGATACTTCATCTCTTTATGGTATCTGTAAAGACTCAAGTTGTTATCGCCAGTCTGTCTTGGTGCTAAACTGGTTAAAGTTTTCTAATTTGACTCAATATAAAATAAATGTTTGAAAACTATTAATCCCAAGTCGACAAAATTTCCTATTATTGCGATAGTAATAGGGGACAAATCATGTTTTATTTTTTCTCTAAGGTGATCCAAATCACACAAATTAATCCAGACGTTAAAATTGTTTTCAAAAGACAGACATTTATAACAAGTTATAACCAATAATTCTTCCGAAGCTATATTATGAAAAGTAATCATCTGCGTAATAGGTAAAATAGATCAATAAAGAGGGTTTTGTCTTAGTGCAAAACGCCAGGCCGTTTTTTCATTACGTATCTCAAATACAGCACCCCAGCTGTTCAACAAACTACCTATCCAAAATGTAACAGTGGATACGCGAACTCTCGCAGATGATAAGTTTGGCAAGTTGTGTCCGGCGATCCAGAATTCGAAAATACACTACCTTCCACATGACACTCGCCTCAACTGCCTACCTGTCTCATGGGGATCTAGTGTGTAAATGATCACATATCGATAATCCAGCCACACAATACAAATCTAAATTTTGGATACAATCCACCGACAAATTATCTTTGGCTTTGGGGTGCACACATACTCCTCGCAGTGTTTCGTTTGATTAGGCCTCTGAAGCCCAGACACTGCTGTATTAACCGCAAATTTCTGTTCCAAAATGTAACTGGTCAACAGTCGGATCAACAACCAATACATTACAGAGTAACAAAATCATTCGGGTTTACATTACGTTAAATCATTACTCACGAAATGTATTATGCTCCACTAACCAGGGCATAGTAGAATATTGCAGAAAAAAATAATTGTGTGACAAACGAGGCTATCGAAAACGCGTACAATGTAAACAATGGGTAATGACCAATATGAGCACAGACCTTTAAAATATCGAATTTCTTCTTAAAAGAAACGTTACCTTTCAATACGTGGAAGTAGCATAGCAAAAACAAACCTCCAATTCACATTTCAGTTTTTACAAAATTAAAGTAAATCTGTTCGATTAATGGGTTTTAAAGTTCTCAGATAATAAAAAAATATAATCTCTTAAATATTGCTACTACGACATTGAATATAATTTACACCAACGCTAACGTCAATTGAAGGATTTAATCCATTGCATTTTTTGTCAGCTACGAAAAGCCCGCCATTCTACAATCAATGGTGTTGTGAAAGGTCTGGCGATACCTTCTGTTTGAGTCACGTTCTGCCGAGAAACATCCTTGACACGGCACGTGTCTAACTTTAATCCCATTTTAAAAATAAAGAAAGATATTACCGGAATTCTTGTTTACAAACTTTAATTAAGAAGTTAATTGGATGAAGTACAGAAATAAGAACTCGGTAAAAGATGTCACATATTATATAGTTTCAAATCATTGGTATAGGTTTGTTCTATTCAGTAGGCTTTATAACACAAAAGCAAACAATTAAATAAGGATCCTCGGGATTTTCATCACGCACCCCGCAAGACCAAAGCTGTTTAATTCATTAGGTTTTTGTTTTGTCGAGGGGAGTTGGGTGGGGTGGGTGGGGTGCATATCGCTTCCATTTTATCGCTGATCTGACTGGTTGAGCAAATGGTAACCGCGGTGTTTAATCTCGGTGTTGTCCGAGAAAGTTCATCGTGATTTTCTGGCGTGGGTTCCCCTTGTCAGTGGTTCAGGATCAACGTACGGGTGGTACGAAACACCGAGATCAGTGAAAAAAAACGTAAAATAAAAACCAAAACTTGACGGTTGGATATCAGTGGTCGTAGCGCCACTATCTGTGCAAAATGGCGTTATGTCTGTCTCCATTGGCCCAGTCGGCACAGAAAAATAAGACGCTAAACCCCATTCCATTCCATTTAATTTCATTCCATTTCGGTTTCGAGATTTGCGGAATCTACCATTATTATTTATGTCTAATGGAAAACTGTGAAATACGGGCATTATAACTGGTATAGATTCGTTTCTGTTTTTCATCATTTTTAAAAACAATAATGTGAATAAAGTATTTGCTTTGGGAAACGTTTTATCAGGCCAGGAACACATCTAAGTTGTACCGGACATTTGTACAATTTCCTGATGGACGTGCAGTAAAAGCATCACGTCACAACAAAAAAAGATAGATTTGTGCCGGGCATCAGACGGTTTGCAGTGAAGAAAGACGTATCTTTTGCAGAACACTGTCACAAAAAGGTAGGCTATTTCAAGGATTGTTTTCAATCGAAGAGGTGTTTGAGTGTAAACTCCGTACCCTAATGCAGAAAAAAATCTGTAAACGTACTGTTTCCCAAAGGACGCCAATATTTACGCGAAACTGGTCCCTGAGCTCCATTGTTAACAAGTGCATAGACGAAAAAATAAATAATGTTTTAAAGAATCCTTAATTCTCGATACAATAAAAGTAAACTTACCAGTGACACATAGATTTACACTGAATAAAATTCATTCTTCCACCAGCTTTCAAACAGTTATTGATACATGGTCCTATTCCTCGTTTAGACATCATCGATGACGGGGACGCCGCCGCGTCTCGTAATAACTCATAATACAGTCTAGACAGAAATGAGCTTCCCAAGCTAGGTTCATTATAGCCTAATTCCAAATCATTATTTCGGTCTAAATCGACTGAAAATAAAAAAAAATTCGATATATCGAAAGTTACAAATAATGTCAATTAATTAACGAGGAAAAATAAAATTGATAACATCAATGATAAGAACACTCGTGGTCTCAAGTCGGGGACTCGAGCTTTAACAACAAAACATAATTTCGATAATATAGGAAATAAATGCCACAATCTTTAATGACCTCAAGTCGGGGACTCGAGCTTTAACAACAAAACATAATTTCGATGATATAGGAAAAAAATGCCACAATCTTTAATGACCAAAGAAAAGTTAATACCATAACATATAGTTGCAATTTATCCTGGGTCATTTAACGACTAAAAGAGGGGCGACTAAAGCAGTAACGTAGCTAGAGGCAACGCTGTTTGAGACGATGCAAAACGTCTGACACGATTTTATTTTGCCTCGTAAACGATGTTTTTCATAAAGTTGGGGAGCGGACAAACTCCAGAACCTCCCCATCGGCACAAAATCTAGGCACACCACTGGGTCAAGAGATAAATTCTATTTAATATTCTTACGCCCGTCTGGTAGATTATGTGCCTACTACGGTTGTCTTTAATTAATCATATCTATGATGTGAACAGTCTATCTATGTCAAATGGTTATAGCATAGACAATCTAAAGCACTATTAATGATGGATCATCACAATGACTCCCCCTGGAACAGTGGTATCTTTTGCTTAATAAGCTTTTACATTATATTACCCTAAACGCGCAATAACTAATTACCTCATCACACCGATATAGTCCCAGTGGAGTGATTTCTCCGTCGTTACGTTTATATGAAAAATACCCTCTATCAGCATTGTCACTGGACATCGTGATAGAATTTAAATCTCATTTATTCACTTTAAATGTTTTTTCATTCTGCAATGATTTAATTCGTTTTAAAATGCTTGCTTTCAAAAAACTGTATTTGCGAGGTGTCCGTTTTCTTCCAAATCACCTACCTTGGTGTTTGAATATAGGTATACAACGATTTACTTTCATTATAGCATGTATTCCCGTCAAAAAGTATCCTATATTATATCTCAACATATCTAGTCTATTTAAAGCAGTAGACATGGGTTACTTACTGACCGTGATAAACAACAAAACACAGGTCGAAACCTTGTTAAATTCACATAAATGCTCAAATCTGAATATTCACTGGGGATTCATACGCGCATCTGAGTTTCATTTTAAGAAATTGCTATCGTTTGGTGTCGTCTGCAATGGGTTAATTTTATGTGGACAATTCTTAGAAAGCGTTATTCCAATTCTGAAAAACTATACGAAAATCTGTGGTACTTTTTTCCACACACACAGATTTTTCAGTTTCTTCATGTATGTGGCCGAAGATAAGAGAAAGCGAGGGGGCGACAGAGGAATTGTGCCCTCAAAAAGTTAAATGATGTTTTACACATTTACAAACTGTGCCGTTTTTATTTAGAATTCGTCAATATTTTCATTTAACGAAAAACTGTCAATTATTGTTCTGTTTGGCCTATAGATCTCTGACAGCTTTCAATAATTTTCAAATAATCGGCAATATCCATAATGTAAATATATTTTCATTCAAATCCTACGTACTTTTTGCCGTCCAATGTCTGGGTGTTAAGTCGCCATCGAGGGTTTTATTTTTGTTATTGATGGCCGTTATCGAAGTTTTATGCAAATGTCTTAAATTCTGCATAAACGCAGTTAATTAGCATACTATTGGGACAACGAACAGATGCTTTGAAATAGCGTCTTTAAAAAAGAAAATGTCATTGCGTGATCTGAATAAATGAATACAGCCTACAATTCCTTGGAAAATTTACACATTATAACGGCACGAACGAGCCAAAATAAATAGCCGTAAAATTCAACATTTTTTTCTGTCTGTGTGCTTTTTTTTTATTTCTTGCAGTTAACAGCGTGTCCAAGGGCCAAGCAATAACCCAATTCTCCTTTTAAATTGCTCATTTTGGTGCTTTTCATTTTTGTTTATCATAAAGGGAGCCAAGAGGATTGGGTGTTCTTACTGAACTCTGAACTCAATTCGTTTTTTTTTAAATTTTCATTTTGGCCCTTTTCAACTTTGTTACCACAAGGGAAACCACGATAGACAGCTGGACTTTGCTCAAACAACAACTTTGTCTATCTCGTTAGAAAATAACTGACAAACTTTTCCGGATTCGCATGCGAAACATTAAACTTTTTCACAGATCTATGAAATGAAATGGAAAAATAAGGTTTAACGCCCTACTGTTCTGCTCAGGGCTAATGAAGACGGCACAGATCTAAAACCAAAGCGAGAAGTGGGAAAACTTTTAAAAACTGATGTATATTTACCTATATGAACATTTCTTTTTTTTTTTTGTCGAATATATATTTCATTTTCAGAAATCCTAATAAAATGGAGCGTTGAAGACAAATTTATAATTCAATTTAAGAAGACTTTCTGTCGTAGGCTTAAGGCCCGGTCCCAGTGGCCGATGGACACAAAATGTATGCAAAAAGGACACAGCGGACGAGCAAACTTTCGGGGGTGGCTCCATCCGTTTTCATCCGCTCCAGAAATGGACAAAATTGACAAAAATTTGCGAAAACAGAACGGAAAAGAACGAACGTGGGAAGTATGTAGCGGGGATATTAAATGGATGTTCATTGGAAGCCTAGCAGATGAAAGCGGGTGGAAGTGGATGACAGCTCCGAGGGGGTTTGGCAAACTCCAGACATCCTTCAATATACCAGATACATCCCAGATACAAACGCTTTGTCCGTTTTGACAACTTTATATACGAGATGCATACGCTTACACCCTTTCTATTTCCGTGCTACTAACGATGTATTGACGTTCCATGTACCTTATCTTTCCTCCCTCTTTCCGTTTTCAGCTGGAGCGGATGTGGGTTGCGAGGATTCCCAGAGGATGCAGAGAGGATACAGTGGACGTTTAAAAGATGATAACGGACATGGAACGTTTGGTGCTCGTATATGTCGCGCATTTACATCGTACACGACAGAAAGTTCATCCGTTATAAAAGTTTTGTGCAGCTCAAAACTTTTTGTGCGGATGAAATCAAAGTGAACGGATGCTCGATGGATAGAGCGTATGAAACACGTATGCAATGAGTACACAATGGATGCATGGCGTTTTCAAACGGAGGGCACGTTTTTTCCCCCGTTTTACATCCTCTTTGCATCCGTAAGTGCAGTGGGACCGGGCCTTTACTAAGAGAAGTAATAATTTTAATTAATAATCCTTAAGAAAGTTGACAGTCTCATAAGTACGAGACAAAAGTGTAAAATTAAAATATAAAAGACATCGTTAATCTAAAAACAAAAGACCGTTTCGTCAGTTTAAATATCAAAATATCAGTCAATATTAGAATAATCATATGTATTCAGATTAATTCACCAAGTAACGGAAAATAACACTCGAACTCGGATATTATTTTATGAAATGCGTAAAGTTACTTTGTCGTTACTTGTATCATCCTTGAGTGGTATTTGGCGATTGGGCTAAATAAAAAACACAACACAATTAATTTATGCGGAAAATTGTGCTTGTAAACGATAAGAGAACACTAATTGTCGAAACAGCGTGCTAAATGTGTGCAAACTAGTGATGGTTTACCATATAAATTGTGTTTTTGTGTTACTTATATCGTTTCGTATCATTAAATGTATTATCTGCAATTACAAATGGTATCTGAAAAGGGGGTCGACCGTGTAAATAATATCCATGTAAAATTTAAACAGATAAGCCAGTTATCAAATACTAATTTATAACTTATTAATTTATTACTTACAAAAAAAAAAAAAGTTTATAAGAGTAAACACTCCTTATAAAAATCAGATACGGGTAATTATGGCATAGCGGTAATTTGATATACATAATTTCATCTTTTGTAAAGAAAATAAAATTGCTACAGGCAAAATAAAATTGTTACTAACATGAATGGTAGGCTACTTAAAAAGTCCATTAACAAGAGTATTAGGATCGACTACTTCAAATATTTTTTTTTTCCAATAAAGATGAGAGGCTAATGAAATAACCATTATAAAAATCTAAATCTGAGAATGTTTTACGAAAGAAAGATATAAATGCAAGACTTATCGAGCAAGGATTTCTGGTTAAAAAAAATAAGTAAAAAACTTACCCGGTAATGCCGATATAAGGTAGAATGTGCATATAGATAAAATACTTGTTACTGCTAAACGGCTCATTCCACAAATTAATATATGATCAACGCTGGTTGTGTTCTCTATAGGTTGTTGTACTTGTGATCTGATCTGGAAATGAACGATGAACAACACAACTCTTCCTTAAATAAGTCTTCAACACTTCGATACTTCAAGACATCTTCACGTCTTTCTATGGGGGCGTGTTTAGATTGATGACGTCGCTTAATCGTAATTATCAGGACATTAAAAGGAGGTACCAAACCGGTTTAATCACGTATTGAAGGTCTTGTTAAAATATTATGATTGGATGGTTAGAGAATTGACAAGAAATATCTCGTTTATGTCATGGGTAATGGATTTGATGATCTACCGGTATTGAAATACGTGAGCGGAAGAATATTTACAACTAAAGCTCGTCATTCCTTGATTGGTAAGGTCGCCAGTTTTGGACGGTGATCACCAACTTAGAACCATGACATCACCAGGGATGTGGGTTATTGTAGGCCATCTGACTCAATTAAGATATTAACACACCAATGATAAAAATAACCATCGGTAAAAACAATGAGATAAATACTGTTTGGCGAATTCTTAATCGTAAGAATAGGTGATCTACATCTGTCGTTGTTGACCATACATGCTTTCTAATATGCATGTTTTTCTCACTTCATCAAGCTGCAAACAACGAAGAAGAAAAAAATCGCCATCAAAACAAACGTGTATGTGATTAATTTCATGATGATTGTTAATTGGTTGTTCCCACTTGAAACGGACATGAGCCCACCCAAATTGTGCAATATAGTTATAATTCACAATAGCCATTAAAATTGTACACGTATCTTAAATTTTATTCACCCACTTAATTTGCTAACCCCAAGGAATACAGATTTTTCACACCGTGTCAAAATGGTTTCTCCGGGGAGAATTTCTTTTAAAGTTCTAAATTCGATGGAATCGGTAATTCTAGATCGTGCCATTATCGACTGAAGTTATCATCACATATATAAACATTTTATCCACATGAGACATAGTCAGATTTGGGCAAAAATCAAGTTTTAAACTGTCCATGTATATAATAAGTACAAATGTTATGACTGATATTTGTTAATAGATAATGTTGGTATCCACCAATATTACATATATCAACACATTCCAAATATAATATTAACATAGCGATCATTGCTACGGTAGATATACGTAACAAAGATTTAAAGAAACGGGAAGTGACACAACAGGTTTAAGTGGAGAATGAATAAAAACAAGGTAATGAACGGACTTGCTGTTTTTCTCGCCTTCTCTTATCACGTGCTAGCCTATTCTTTTCATGAATTGTCAGATTTGAACAGACATCCTCTTACGGTCTCATATAACAACTTTTCTTCATCAAAGGAATTATCAATGAGCTAAAATCGACCCTGTATCTGTTATCCCTCTCCACTTCAGCCATTTTTTGCGTCACTTCCCGTTTCTTCAAATGTTCTACCGTTATAGAAATGATCTCTGTGTTAATATTATATTTGAAATGTGTTGAACCATTTCTATCACAAATGTATTATTGACCTTTAAAATAAGCGTATAGGAAACCGTCCATTCTTTTTTTATATCTATTTGGTGTGTGAAGGGGCGCAGAAGAAGGGGGTAGAAGTTCATATGTGACGATGGACAGACGTATGTGGGACGATGTGGAGAAGGGTACAGTTGTAAGGGCTTTAAGCAAATAATGACAAGGACATAGAGGTGAAGACTTTTCAGAATGACAAGGAAGCGTAGATAAACCGAGATGATTGCGAGAGTTGGGTACAGGTGAGATGATTTTGAGAAGTTTACAATGAAAATTTAATCATGAAAAAGTGCAGACAACGGACATTGTAGGGATGTACTGAATTACTGTCAGCTCAGACTTCCCCTCATGTTCTCGAAGCAATGACCGCAAGTTTTACAACATATGTACGGAGTTAAAGCCAGATAAAGCCTGCCATTGAAGATGCCCCCCACCCCCACCAAATGGTCCCATTTCGATTGTTACTAACTGTGTGGAACAATAAAATAGAATTCTCTACAATTACGTATATATATATATGATCTGGCACGAATAAGGCCATTATTAACTTATTATACGTGAGTAATCAAATACATTTATAGTATTATTCTATGTTTAGAAAATATTAAATTCAGTGCATATATTAGCTTAGATTAAATGGTCTAGACTAGACAAGACAAACATATAATCACATATTTATAAACTTTTCGGCGGTTCTAAATTGACTTCTAAAGTAGAAGACAGAATCAATGAACAAAAACGATAAGCATCCTATTATCGTTTATCCTAGTCATATACTAAGTACACGACTGTACCACACACAAACTAACAAAGACCCAGAAAACAAACCAAAGGACAAGACACACAACACATGGACATTACAAGAAATAAACAAAAATGGTATCATTGTATTGTATTATTCTATCTAACAATATAAAGCTCTGTGATACATTTGCTAAGAAATACAAACGTTCAATATCTATGTAGTTGGCTTTAGTGTCTGGATGACCTGGCGCCTGGTACGTTCGGGCATTTTTATGCGCGAACTCTTAGTTTTTTTTTACTGGCATGCGCACAGGTACTATTTCTTTTTCTTTTAACAAGTACCCAAATCGGGGATTTCGTGCGGAGGTAGTTCGGAGGTAAACAGTCTGTGAAGTACAACACTTGCCACTGTACCTGTGTATCGCTAATTATAAACCGAATGTGTGAAGACAGTTCATACATATCACTCAAAAATTTTTCAGTACAAACTCAGTTGATTCACGCTCGATTTGCTACTAAACAAACCCATCGGTTTATTTTCTCAACAGTGTGACCCGAAGTGAGCGCGGATTTATTGACCTTGTATGAACTTATCCATAGCTATATCCTTACACCGAGAGAAATTATCTAGTCTCGGTGAAAAGAACCATGGTCATCTGGTAGAAAATTACTTTTGTATTTTTTGGAACGGAAAACAGTGTTTTTAGAAGCAAACTAACCTGCCGCACATGAGGAAGTCATTATACTAATAATAAAAGGCGAGACCTCTTTTTGCGGCGCAGACTTATCACTGAGTAGTAAACCGTCCACAAACAATAATATAGGAAGCCTAGTGAAGAGTGTAGTAAGTAGGCTATAGACTATAGGTTTGAGTCGAGATTACTCGCTTTCAGTTTACTCTGTTTTTGCGATAACCAATTATGTGAGAAATACCATACTGACATTCGGTTTTTAAAAGTTGTACGCCAACTAAATGCGTTTGTTAGATACTGACAGAGCAGCCCCGAGTCGAACAATCGCCGCCCGAGCTGTCTTCGTCAGCTAGTTTCACAATATCGTGCAATAGGTGTATTAATGTGATTTTTAGGTTTAACCCCGCCAACAATGCCAAAATAGTGTTTTCACTGCTTACAGAAAACTGAAATTTTAAAAAAAAAAATTTTATGAGGGTGACCCTCCCACACACTCCCTATCGAGCTGCCGCTCGGTCTGCGCAGCCTCATGCCTGGCACATACTGTCAACATTGTATATTTTTCCGTTTCCGCCCTTCCCCCCCACAATATATATTTCACGGCTACGTTACCAGCATACCCAGTTGTTGACACCCATTACATCACTCCTGTCTAACAAATCATAAAGCTGTGGTGTTACGGTGGCGGCATAGTATTTCACCGTAACACCACAGCCACTCTAACCATTCATAATACATCTAACTATCCCTTTACAGCACTTCACTCCCTACACATTTCCCCTCGTCCTACTTTCCCAAACGTCAACAACACATCTCATACATTCAGTCCGCTGATTAACCCTTGTACCACGTCTACTGGATGACCTGGCGCCTGGTACGTTCGGACATTTTTATGCGCGAACTCTTAGGGTTTTTTTACTGGCATGCGCACAGGTACTATTTCTTTTTCTTTTAACAAGTACCCAAATCGGGGATTTCGTGCGGAGGTAGTTCGGAGGTAAACAGTCTGTGAAGTATAACACTTGCCACTGTACCTGTGTATCGCTAATTATAAACCGAATGTGTGAAGACAGTTCATACATATCACTCAAAAATTTTTCAGTACAAACTCAGTTGATTCACGCTCGATTTGCTACTAAACAAACCCATCGGTTTATTTTCTCAACAGTGTGACCCGAAGTGAGCGCGGATTTATTGACCTTGTATGAACTTATCCATAGCTATATCCTTACACCGAGAGAAATTATCTAGTCTCGGTGAAAAGAACCATGGTCATCTGGTAGAAAATTACTTTTGTATTTTTTGGAACTTAAAACAGTGTTTTTAGAAGCAAACTAACCTGCCGCACATGAGGAAGTCATTATACTAATAATAAAAGGCGAGACCTCTTTTTGCGGCGCAGGCTTATCACTGAGTAGTAAACCGTCCACAAACAATAATATAGGAAGCCTAGTGACGAGTGTAGTAAGTAGGCTATAGACTATAGGTTTGAGTCGAGATTACTCGCTTTCAGTTTACTCTGTTTTTGCGATAACCAATTATGTGAGAAAAACCATACTGACATTCGGTTTTTAAAAGTTGTACGCGAACTAAATGCGTTTGTTAGATACTGACAGAGCAGCCCCGAGTCGAACAATCGCCGCCCGAGCTGTCTTCGTCAGCTAGTTTCACAATATCGTGCAATAGGTGTATTAATGTGATTTTTAGGTTTAACCCCGCAAACAATGCCAAAATAGTGTTTTCACTGCTTACAGAAAACTGAAATTTAAAAAAAAAATTTTTTATGAGGGTGACCCTCCCACACACTCCCAATCGAGCTGCCGCTCGGTCTGCGCAGCCTCATGCCTGGCACATACTGTCAACATTGTATATTTTTCCGTTTCCGCCCTTCCCCCCCACAATATATATTTCACGGCTACGTTGCGACGGTACCAGCATACCCAGTTGTTGACACCCATTACATCACTCCTGTCTAACAAATCATAAAGCTGTGGTGTTACGGTGGCGGCATAGTATTTCACCGTAACACCACAGCCACTCTAACCATTCATAATACATCTAACTATCCCTTTACAGTACTTCACTCCCAACACATTTCCCCTCGTCCTACTTTCCCAACACATCCAAA